GGATATCCACAAAGCGAGCAACAGGGATTTCACCAGACACCATGACACATTGCACTAAAATCAGATCGACTTTATCTCAATCTCAAGAAAATGGAGACGCAGCCTACTTGACACAAGGTCAAGAAGGGGAGCGTATGTAGGCTTACACCACTCTATATCTAGTTCAAGGAACCTTCCAAATCAAGTTGAAAGCCTTCAAAGAAGCTGGTGATAGACCACAGTTCAAGTTCAACACCCTAAACAGAAAGTGAAGGACGAAACTCCAAAAGAAATCTTCACGGCCGCCAGCCATCAAGACAAAATTGGAGACATCGAGAAACATCCCTGAAGAAACCTGTGTGGAAGAACATTGGAACTCTTCGAAAGAGATGTAGAAAGAAACCTGCACAGCCGTATTAGGAAGGAAGAAGAAAGAATATAAGGAATGGATCTCGACGGATACCTGGAAGCTGATAGAGGAGTGAGAGGAGGATGGTGAAGCAGAAGATAAACCAGTGCAGTGCAAGGATGCTAAACAACATGAGGAACTGAGCACAATGTATAAAACACTACACTGGACAAAGAAGTGAAGAAGAGTGCACGAAAGGACAAAAGACACTTCCACAACACACTGGCAAGTGAAGCAGAACGGGCTGCAGGTAGCAGAGACAAAGACCTGACAACATTGTATCAAAAAGCCAGGTTACTATCTGGGAGAGAATAGATCAACACAGATGAAACCAATAAAAGATGATGAGGGAAATTTAATTACGAAAGAAGAGAAACAGAGGAAACCATGGGCCGACCACTTCAAAAGGCTCTTGAATCGACCATCACCACCACCTGCACTTAGTCCAGAAATACCATCTGCAGCCCAGCCACAGAACTACAAGTGAACACAAATCCTCCAACAAAAGTGGAAGTCCTGAACGCCATAAGGCTACTGAAATGCGGGAAAGCAGCAGAACCAGATGGAATCCCACCAGAAGCGCTGAGAACAGACGGAGGGACAACAACGGACACGCTCACACCACTATTGTACAAGGTTTGCAAGGAAGAAAGGAAAGGTAGCTGGCGACTGACTGGAAGAAGGGCTACCTTATCAAACTACCGAAGAATGGCGACCTAAGTCTTTGCAAGAACTGGCACGGAATCATGTTGCTGTCCACCCCAAGCAAAATATTAAGCAGCACCATCCTCAAGAGCCTCAAAGATGCGCTGGATTTGAGACTACGGCAGGAACAGGCTGGATTCAGGAAGAAAAAATCATGTGCAGACCAAATTGCAACGCTTTGCATCATCATTGAGCACAGCATAGAATGGCAGTCAATTCTACACCTCAACTTCATCGACTTTGAAAAGGCCTTCGACACTGTCGACCAAGAAGTAATTTGGCAGCTGCTTCAATACTACAGTTTTAGTGCCACAAACCTGTATCAACCGCATTCAACAGCTAGCTATATGAAGACGCCGTATGTCAAGTAATTAACAACGGGAAGGAAGCTCAGTGATGCCTTTGAAGTGAAGACAGACAGGAGTAAGATAAGGCTGTCTACCGTCACCGATGATCTTACTGATTGTGGTCGACTGGATCATACAACAAACCGTGAGGAGCGAGAAGAGGGGGATACGCTGGAGCGATGAAAAGAACCTAGAAGACTTAGATTTCGCCGATGGCTTATGTCTAATGTCACACAAACTTGAAGATCTACAGGCGAAAGTTAACAAGTTGACAGAAGAGGCAAGGCAGCGAAAACCAACAACAGCATCAGCAACAAGCTCCAGTCATCATCAACGGGCAACACTTGAAGGAAGTAGCCTCTTTCACCTATCTAGGCAGCACTGTTTCAACTACAGGCAGCGACACAGGCACAGACGAGGACGTCAAAGCAGCCAGGATCCGAAACACAGCAAGACAGGTGTTCATTAGCCTGAAACCAGTGTGGAGATTATCTGCACTGCACTCAGCATAAAGCGTGAACAAGATGCGGATTTTCAACACCAACATCAGTCAAGTCAGTGCTCCTATATGGTTCAGAAACTTGGCGCGTTACGAAAGGCATTTCGAACAAACTACAGACATTCATCAACAACTGCCACCTACACTGGCTCGTTACTGAAGATCAGATGGCCAGAATAATAGGAATAAGCAACAAGGAACTCTGGCTGGCTAGCTGGCTGGCAGGCAACGAACAAACCAACAACCTATCACTCAATGAATATGCAGAAGGAAGTGGAGATGGATTAGACTGGGCATACACTGAGAAGGCCGACTTGGGATATCTCGCACCAGGCCAGTCCCTCGAGTGGAACCCAGATGGGAAAGGACGAGTTGGGCGTTCGAGGTGAGGGTGACATGGAGGAGATGGTGTGAGGAAGAAATGAGAGGTTGTGGGCTGTCGTGGAGCCAGGTCGGAAAGATTGCAGAGAAGAGAGTGCACTGGTGACGTGCTACTGAAGCCCCATGTTCCGCTACGAACCCAAGGGACAAGTAAAATAATGATAATTCTATCTGACCAATGGGCCATTCAGCTGTTCTCTCTGTACATCGCTAAGCATCTTTAAATGCTGAACAGTCAACATGCTTATATGTTGTTACTTGTATTATCCCGTCATTAATTGGAAGGGATTGATCGGTGTCCAGTAGCACCTAGGCTCCTGTGCAGATGCCTCGATATTACCTGTGGTCTATTTATATATTAGTAGTGGATAGTGGCTAGGAGGGGAATCCAGGGTGTGCGTTTCGTCCTATTTGAGACTCGTCAGCCGGAGGTACCTTGCTTCCCAGTGAAACAGGTTGTTCCTGCCAGGACTGGAACTCGGGACTGATAGCTACGAACTCCAGAACGTTATCCACCATGTCATTGTCGAGTGGCGAACAGGACGAAATACGCGTCTTGGATCCCAAGCTGATATTTTCGTCTAAACTAATCTCTGCAAACTGTTTTCTTTTGACTGACTATAGTAGTTAATTTTCTTGCTGACAAAGCATGTCAATGCCTGAAGTGGTCGATTCTTTGTCACAACAGAAGTTGGAGAATCTAGACCATTGGATCCCAACCCAGTGGCTTGTTAGCAGAATGCTCACCATAAGGTCGTGGGTGCGAACTACTGAGGAGTTCTAGATTGAGACGAAAAAAGCTACCCAGTACTCCGAGTTATCCAGTGACTCTTCAGATAGTTCCAATCCGTAGTGAATATCACTATGATATTAATGAATCACCATAAGTCTTCAGACAGGAGCTGAATGAGATTATTAGGTTAATGAATAGTACAAAAGAGTTGTGGAAGAAGTGATAGTTTGAACCGTCTTAAAACCATTATTTTATACAGCGCTAAGGTGTATTTCTTGAAGATGATAAGTGGTTCAACAGTGTGATTCAGACAGGGTTCCATCTTGAACCAGCGTATGTGGATATGATTAGGTGGACTGACCAAAATGCGTTGATGAGTATCATAGAACAGCATCAGTATCATATTTACACGGTGGATTTATGAAATACAAACTTTTTTTAGCATAGTAGTAATACACATTCTGTGTAGAATATAAACTGAATAAGTCTTTTTATATCAGTTTGAGATATTCCCTATTACTGATTAGTTTAAGCTAACCAAATCTTCAGTCTGTTTTAGTCTTAAGATGAGAGCCTTATTGACCTGAAAGTGTAGGTGTGAATACCTTAGTGGCCTTTGTCTAACCAGTGTAGTAATGAAAGTTATACCGTAAGTGGTGTAGCGATAAATGTGTATAGCAGTTTTAAACCTTCACAGTGAGATGAATGACTTCAAGTCTACTGATGACCGGTGTCAACCATTATTATCTCTCTGACACCTAACATTCACTGTTCTCCTTCTCTACAATTCCGTTTAACAATATTCTACACAAATATTTTGACCAAAATCATAAATTGAACTATCTGATCAATAAATCAAGTTTTTCAATGCTCAAAAATTTGTTCAATGTTTTTTTTAAAAGAAAATATATCTATTCCTACAAGGAGCTTATTCAGCACTCTGATGTATATAGAGGTTATTTGGATTCGTTTTGTTTCAGCTCAAATTACGATCATCTGTTATTTCTGTGTTTTCAGGGTGTAATTTTAAGATAATTAACCTATTATATTCTCCTTGTTTCATAAAAAAAAAAAGAGAGTTTGGATGTACTCCTGTATGATCTTTACTATTATTGCTTTCTACGCCTCAATTTGAACAGAATGACATTTATATATAAATCTAGGCGAGTCATAGACTGGCCTACGTTTTCATATCATATCCTATGTTCCCATGGCTGTCTTAACCACGTCTTCATAAAGTCTTATCAAATATTTTAATAGTTTACAATATTTAGTTTCTTTCATGAATTTCTATAAGGGGGATTTGTTTATGAAGTTAATGGTAACGTTTGTAACTGCAGTACTGAATGACATGAGGTCTACTCTTAGACGAGACATCAATTTCCATCTAGATTTCAGATGAGCTTTGATGATGAGTGACAAAAAGCGTGAAACTTACGTCCAGGGTTTTCTTCAAAGTAAGAGATAGGTGGCAACTTCCTAATACAAAAGTACTGTATCCGAGGTATCCATTCCTCTTTTACATAGTATGGTAACACTTCAAGTTTCTGGATAATATGTTAGAGGAAGTCTTTCTCGTTTTTTTTTCAGAGGTAAAATAACGATTCCAAAAAGTTTCTTCAAATGTACATGACACATATACTACTAGTTATTATAAGTAGTTAGAACCCCCTGAATATCAGAAATCGCCATTTCAGTCAGCAGGCTATACTGGACAAGTTTTTTGTTAGCCTTTTTGCCAGTATTCTAGGTGTCCAATAGATCTTTATTTGATTGATGCTTGGACATTTTACTTTCTAAAGAGAATGACAGCTGAGTCGTACAATCATGTCACGTTTAGTTATATCATCATTATCGAACACCAATAACCTGAAGTGTAACTAGGCCTAGATAATTCCATGCAAAGAAGAGAGGCGATTAGAATGCAACGTCAAAAGTTTTGCTTACCATAATCACATATCCTGCCACCATACCCTGAATGACATTTACACTTTCCAGGGCCAATACAAACTCCATTCATGGAACAATTATTCTCACATTTAGCTAAAATATTAAAATATGAAGAAAAACAACACAGATTCACTTATAACACTCAATTGCATAGGTTAGTTGTAATGTTATGGAAACTACTTATAGTGTGGAGTAAGTAGTATAGAGCAGCTTATGTTGAAATAAATAAATAAATAAGATAACACACTACTATAACCTTCTTAAGTGAAACTCAACACCAAATAGTCAGTTCATCTGAATCCATTTGAGGAGAGTAAGAATAAAAAAATTCACAGAAAAAAAGTATCAGAATCATATTTTATTGGTATCATCCATCTCCGGTGTTTGATAGGTTCATCGCGACCCATAGTAACACTGAATTTACTATGAAGAAAGGAAGCAAACTAAGGTTTAACTGAGTGGAGCTGAAAGTTCGAAAAAGGCAGTTTCATTCTTGTACCAACTATCCATAGAAAAGGAATATGGACTAGACAGTACTCAAATGAAATTAACTACTGCCTTACCAACTATAAGCATGAGTGCGCCAAAAAATTTCTAGGATAAAACTGAACTTTGACGCTTGATAAAGAAGCTTGATTGATAGTTTATTACTTTTGAGGAGTGTCTTTGAAACGATGGCTGACCTAAGCTACAGGAAGTGGCTTAAATTTAAATCAGCCATTTAAAAACCTGATTGGTCAATTTTGCCCTTCAGCTGACCAATCAAAAAAGTATCCAACTTGTGACCTAGTGGCTTTATCTACTGAGGAAAAAACGGTATATAAATGTGTTTTGCTAAATAAAGTTACATACCTTACAATCAAAGGAGGTTTTTTCTTCTGATTTTCGTGGCTCTGTAAGGCATCAGGTCTGAGGGAAAATAGGCACTACTCGTATACAGTTCAAGTAACTCATTGCTTTAGTAGCGTTTCTCGTACTTCGTACTATCGTCAGTCACTTCCACTCAGTCACTCCGCCAACAGAATCATCCTCAAATATGAAGAGGTACGACGTAAAAGTTGCTTGACACTTGTAAAAAAGAAAGTTTTCTAATCGCATTATATTCAAGTGTGTATGTGTATGTGTGTGTATGAGGGAGAGAGAGAGAGGAAGAGAAGGAGATAGATGAAATATCAAAAAAAAAACAGATTCAGTGTACCGATGAACACTGAAATTTAGTTCTCCTGCAGTCAAACTGATATTAGGATTCGATGTCAAACACTTAGTCAACTAATTCGAAGTGGACAGGTACCCTGAACAGGTCATCTTCCATTCCATTGATAAGTTTACATGTAGTGGTGACAGAAAGTACATAGGAAGGACTGAGAGAAGAACTTGCGTTAGGCTTACTTGTGGAATTCCCTACAGAACATGTCTAAGGAGAAGCAAACTTCTCAGCAGAGTCATTATGAGATACTCTGCGGTTACAGGACACCCACGATCCCGCCGGGGATCGAACCCAGGGCCTTCAGGTTCCGTGGCCAGCACGTCACCATTAAGCTACTGGGTCAGAATGCAATGGTCCATATTTCCTACTTCTGTCAGCTCACGAAATGGATCACTGCATCCCAGCTCAGTATATCAATGGTAACATACTGGCCATGGAACTTGGAGGTCCTGGATCCGCTTCTTGGTGGGGTCGTGGGTGAGCACTGCTGAGGAGTCCCATACTAGGATGAAACAGCTGTCCTGTGCTCTTAGGTTTCCATTGTTCCCCCAACTGATGTCAGTCTATAATAAGTACCTACTTGAAATCACTAAAAATCCCCCACAAACCCCCAAAATGGACTGCAATATTTTGTTGTGGATGTTTCTTCACCAGGCTTGATGATATTCTCATCATTAACTTCATAGGAATGAACTATCCTTCTTTCTAATCAGAGGTTGACCTTTATAACTGTAATGGATCCTTTAGATTGGATCAAATGCTCTACAGGGATTCGGTTGGCTGGTGTGCCACTGTGATACTGAATAGGCAAATAATCGTTTGGCAAGTTTTTGAGACATCTTCGGTGGAAACGTTGAATGGTGATTCGTAACGTGGGTTGAGGTAGTTGTCCCGATTTCTGTTCTGTTGGTGTGTCCTTCTTGATGAAGTTGATTAGATAGTATTTGACGGTGAATACTTTGTACAAGCGGTTTTCGTATGACTTCCACTACCACTGTTTGCAATAATGAGTCTTGGCAGGTAAGAATATTGCTTGTACACGATTCTTCTTATAAGACCTTGGTTTGTTACTACTGTGGTTCAAAATGTGACTCGTGTTTGTCACTTTCTTCTATACTTGGATTCGCTGGGTTCCACCATGTCTCTAACTCATTAGTACTTCTTGAAATATGATTTGGTAAGTTTCGTCCTCTTCTTTTTGTAAATCTAGTACCTTCAAAGGTTTAGTTCTTGAGGTTGAATGTGTTATCCAACTATTACAAACTTGACGTTGATATAGCTTAGATAAACTTTTAGTCCGATTGTTGGGATGGCTATTCATCCTAACCTTTATATTGCTAATTTAATAGTCAATATTATCCACCTATGGCATATAAACTGCTTTCAGTTCAACTGGATGATCCAACAATAGAATTACAATAGGTTTAATCAAGATGTAGGCATCTTCATGATATTTTGCGTAAATGTACAAGAAAAATCTTAATTTTCCACATATCTCTTTCTCACTACAACTTAAACTCAATATCCAACGAAATTCAAGAACGAAATCTTGAGAAAAGTTGAAGAATTGATTCTCATTGTTACATAAAATAAGAAAGTACAAGGTTGTGTTTTAGACTATAGACATTAGTCGTATATCCATAGGTGAAAGTGGTTAACACACCTTTGGTCAAATTTTCATCAAAACCTGTTTATAACCTTTATAGTTTAATAGCTATACTTTGAATGTTGACACGGAGTTAGGGATATTAAGAAACTAAGGCAACTCTTAGGACCATCATGAAGTAATCTTCCAAAATACAATATATAGGGTGGCATAATAATTAGGCTTTTACGTGAAATGAAGTAAGATTCACAGTATTAGGCTTTGGCTACTCATATTTGGCAAGTGGGGTTGGACATTAGGATATATATGTCTTCAACATTCCACGTGTTTTGGAACACAAAAACACTTGCCGGCACCCCATGGTTAGTATATTTCCTGACCAATCATGATCATAATGTGCTGGTGCAGCATTGAGTTGCACGGGGAATATCAAGCTAGTTGGCAGTGAGAATAAAGAAACACTGCTCATGCTCAAACAGTCATGTAAGGGCTTATGGAGACTCGTTGTGAGAAATTACGACGACCAGTACCGTCTGCCCATCAGAGATAAACATTTTTAACATCTCTGAGTAGTACCACCATAGACATGTAAATGGATGTAATTTTAGATGCTTTGACTTCTCAGGGACTGATTTACTCAAAGGCAAGTATACTGCTCAACAGTTCACTCTGTCTTACTATACGCCAGTCAGATATCACTGTTGAAAACAGAATACATCAAAAAATTACTGGTTGACGACCAAAAGACGCCTCTGCAGTAATCCTTGCGTGTACAGAAACCGTCACGTGACCAAAGTTAGGCGTAGATTACCAGGCAAGGCGGGGAAGTTAGCTGATATATGTGTACACTTGCACCGACTGAGGTGACTTGAACATGTGTTACGCATCCCGATCTACTATATTTCTTGACGTCCAGTCTTAGCTAAAATAAGGGTCAGTTAAGAAGAGATGGGGGTGGCGACAGCAAGACATGGTAAGACTGCATAGAGTCTCTGACTGTTGGTCTGAGCAGTGAAGGGGGGATTTATCTTTTTTAACATTCTGTTGTGACGCGTGTCAACTTGGATTGATGTACTTTTGCTACAGGTTCTTTGTTGGTTTTTGAGTTTCTGTATATCTGTCTTAGGAATACCAGTAAGGAATGATATATGTGGTTTACGCAACCAGTTATATCCTTCAAGTACAACTGTGCATAAACAAACTTCAAAACTAAGTAGTAGTTGAGCTAGGAGAATAACAGTGCTGACAATCCGTGGGTCACTAGTTTGAGTCTTGCCACGGCCTACAGTTCTCAATTTACTTGCAGTTATCACACTACCATCAAAATTGTAAGTTTAACAAACTACAGCTACCTTATAGCGTTTCATTAACAATTATTACTAACATGATCGGTTCAGGTGATTTAATTTGCCTCTGAGAAATCACTTTGGAATGCGCTTCGAGGTCTTTACTTGCATGCATATATGAATCCTGCCTATATATGTGTCATTAAACGTACATTTGAACCACTAGATGCAATGAGATATGATATTATCCCGAATCATGGCATACTTCACTTACGTTTACATCCATTAATTAGATCACCAGATCCTGTATAACCAGTTGGGCATTCACAATGATAATTCATGCCATCTGCAATGCATTTCGCCAGTGAATGACATCTGTTACGTTTGTGTGCACAGATATCTATCTCTATAAGACAACAGTTGAAAAAAAAGATTGTATTTTTGTTAATAAATACTCAGTGAAACTTATCGGAATATCTTATAAATAACTATCCTGTCATATCATCAGTACAACCCAAGTGAATGCTATAAATGAGACAGATAGATATCACTGAAAACCTGAAAACATTGGATAGCTGTTTTATCGTAGCATCGGATACCTCAGGAATACGCATCGATGACGCCGTCAGGGAACGAAATCGGAACTTCTGAGCTCCGTGGTGAAATCGTTACCATTGATTCACTAGGTAGGGATTGGCCAGCTCCATCCTTTACGTATCCTCACGTCTAATATCACATCGTTGACTCAACTTTCATACCTACTGAAGCTCACTAGAAGTGTTTATCAACAATATCAACTTGAGTCCCGAAACTATAATAGTAAGGAAAGGAGTGTAAGCATCACCGCAGAGTTATTCATTCTAATACTGATCTTTTACACGGTTAGATTTTGATGTAGTTATCGATCATTGGAGGCTAACCATTAACAGTTATATTGAATACTATCGGTTCGAGTCCACGGGGAGGTGGGAATCTCTACGGGGTATATGATACATCTTTGTGATGGATCCAAGACTTTCTATCAGTCACCTTCAACTATTTCAATAGGAAAGTCTCAAGTAAGTAGTATACATATATGGTAAAATATGATGTGCTCCAAATAATCAGTTACTTTAAGCCGAAACACTGTGAGTAAACTGCCCATAATACACATTCTCTTCAGGCTCTACTTCTAAATACCATAGTCTTCCAGTGTACACCATAAACATGCGAACATACAGGATTCAGATTAAGGCTAACCCGCAACTGGTGTTACGTAATCAGATGATAACCAATAGTAGGCGAAAGAGATATTATTATTTATTGGTGTTTGTAATCCCCTTTTGTTTTACTGGATAAAACTGAACGACCTTTGTTGGCATCAAAAATTAATAATAATAGTAATAACAATAATAATACCAATAATAAAAATACTAGTTGCACAAGAGGTGACTCCCGTTCCCCAGTGGCCTGGTGAATAACGCTTTGACATTTGAAGTGATGGGCACAGGGTTCGAGCCCCATTGAGGACACCATCACTGACTGCATTACAGACACATCCAGCTGACGGCTCCAAAATAGGACGAGACGTGTGTCCTGGTTTCCACTACTAGCCTCCATCAGGTAGATCATAGCAATAAAAATAGGCATAGTTTGCAAACAGATGACAGAGGCAACAAGTTAGCATAGGTGTGAAATGAAAATGATCCTGAGGATCAATGTACCTTGTCGACAAACATCAGAAATATCATTCCTAACTCTTAAAGTGGCTGTTAATATGTAGGTTCCACTGGTCCCGTGAAGTCAGTTACCACCAGGGCATAATGAAGAGTCTATGTAGATAAGTTGAGGAAAAATCTCTTACACAGTGAAGCAAAGAATGAATAAAGACAACTACAGGCTTGAGGAAGAAGAAATCATGTGCGGATCAAATTGAGATACAACGTCACACTACGCATCATCATAGAACAGACAATAGAATGTCAGTCAACTCAACTCAACTCAACCCAACCTCTACTTCATCGAATTGGAAAAGACCTTCAACAGAGTCAACAGAGAAGTAATTTGGCACATGCTGCTTCAACACTACAGTTTTACTGCCAAAAACATTCATCAACCTCATTCAACAACTAGCTATATGACGATGTTACATGCCAAGTGATTCACAATGGGAAGCTCAATGACACCTGTGAAGGGAAGACAGACAGGTGTAGGACAAGGCTGTCGCCTAATATCACCAATGATCTTCCTGATCGTGATTGACTGGACTGGATTATGCAACAAACTGTGACTAGCGAGAGGAGAGGCATATGCTGGCTAGTGTGATGAAAAGACCCCACAAGAAGATTTGGATTTCGCTGGTGATGATGATTTATGCTTGATGTCTTGTTGCACAAACTCGAAGATTTACAGGCAAAAACCAACAAGTTGACAGAAGAGATGAGGTGAGATGAGGTGAGGTGAGGCGATGCATCGAAGACTGAACTTCCTTCAAGTGAACGTAGAGAAGACAGAGGTGATGAAGATATCCAACCAACATCAACAAAAACAACAACAGTGACGACAACAACAAGCACCAATCACCATCAATGGGAGGAATCTAAACGAAGTTGTCTCTTCCACCCACCTAGGCAAGGTAGCATCTCTTCAACTACAGATAGCTGTACAGATGAAGATGTCAAAGCAGCCAGAATCGGAAAGACAGCAAGACAGGCCTTCATTGATCTGAAGTCAGTGTGGAGATCTACTACACTGCATTCTGCATAAAGCGTGAACAAGATCTGGATTTTCAACGCCAAAGTCAGTGAAGTAAGTCAGTGCTTGTTATGTGATGGTTGAGAGACTTGGCACGTTACGAAAAGCATTTCCAACAAACTGCAGACATCTATTACATCAACAGCTACCGCCCACACTCACTCGATACTGACACTGAAGATCAAATGGCCAGAATAATGCGAATAAGCAACAAGGAACTCTGGCTGGCTGTCTGGCTGGCTGGCTGGCTGGCTGGCTGGCTGGCTGGCTGGCTGGCTGGCAACGAACCAACCAAGAACCCATCACCCAACAAATATGCAGAGGAAAGTGGAGATGGATTGGATTGGACATGCACTGAGAAGGCCAATTGGGGACATTACGCACCAGGTCATGCCTTCGAACGGAATCCAAAGGGGAAATGACGAGTTGGGTGTCCGAGGGTGACATGGAGGGGATCATGTGAGAAGAAATGAAAGGTTGTTGGCAGTGATGGTGCCAGGTTGAAAAGACTGCAGAGAACAGAGTGCAATGGAGACGTGCTACTGAATTTCTAAGTTTCACTAGGAACCCAGAGGAAAAATAATAATGATAATAATAGTGATTATTTGATCTTCAGTAAACACACACGAGTATAACAATACCCCAGATAGATGTATATACGTAAATTATTGTCTGTAGGTTTTGTCTTCGTCTCATTTCGTAATCGTTTTTTCATTAGTGATTCCATTGCACAACTAACACACTAGACTGATAACAGTTCCACTATTCCACCATTCCACTCAATTTAATCTCCATTCACCCATCACAACACTGAGTGTTTCGATATAGTAATAATTGTACATCATGTTTTATTTTGGCTATTGTATTTCATTTATTCTCATGAATTTATATAAGTGTAGAGCTCGAAGAGGAAGGAAGTTATTGAAAACAATATTGTTCGCTCAGATTATTCTTGTTGTGAAAGTAGTGATAAAAACACAACTAATATTATCAATCAGTTAGGAAGTCTGAAATGAATCAGAATCCACTAAAGCCGTCTTCATTATGCATAGACAATAAATAAACAAGAAACTCTCAGTATTTCGTCCTGACCATAGACTCATCAGCAGTGTAAAGTTCCAGGCTGACGATCATCTGACTTTATAAAATTCATGGTCTTCAATTTTTGCTCTATGAGTGACTTCAGGTAACACAGAAAATTACTTATTACATTAGATAATCCTCATTTTATCCAAGAAACTGATAGAATTTGAGATAATCTTTAATAATTATTCCAAGAAGCTGAAATTTAGACCAACTGTAGCTTTAAACAGACCAGTCAGATCTGTCCTGTGACTTGATTATTACATTTCAAAGGGATTCATAGACTGCATTCGACAGGCCTTTTAGGTGTTTGCTAAACTATCATATATGGCACTGGCGAGAAATTTGACTACCTAGGAAACAATGAGTATACTGTTCAGTATGCTGTTCTGTTGTATTGTATAGCAGTAAAACATTACTGTTAAAGGTAGGATATTGTAAGTTAAATTACTGAACAAGCTTCTTTTGTATGCAAAGTTCAGGCTTTAAAATCTGCATTGTCATTGTAATCACACTCTGAAGAAGTTTTATTCACTTAGCTTTCAGGAGATTATCACGTTGTCTACAGACTATACTGGAGTTCGAATGAAGATCCACTTGGTGTCCGTAGTCGAATAAACTTTCTGAAAATTGAACTGTGAGACAATCCTCTTTCTCCGTTGTATGCGTTTGAAGATGCGTTTAGAAAACAGATGATGAGTACGGCCAAAATACCTTGTTCCACAGGAGCAGTTAAAATGATCGATATACATTGAAGAGACTGACAGCATTAGCCTGTCCCATACGCATATTTGAATTAGTGATCAGATGAAGAAAAGCAGTCCAAGTTTAGTTGTATAGTAAGTTTTACTCGATGAACAGGATGAAGGATATTTTTAATATCTCCACCGATGGGTCTCCATCGAGATGTAGATTCAATAAAATCTGATTTTTAGAATCCAAAAAGTTGTGGTGGGTCTTGGCTTTAAAGTTCTCATGATAAGGTGTACAGGAGAGCATTTTTAAGAGTAGGTAGCTCTTCATCAGTAGAGCCAGAACTGTAGATATAATGAATTTTATGATTAGATTCTGTTTTGTATCCGTTGGAGCCTGACTGTCTTCTGAAGGCCTTCAAAAGGAATGTGATTACGCTTGACATGCATTTTGTCAAAAGCATTATAATACCTTGAGACTGGTCAGAATCGGCTCGAAGTCTAAGGTGAAGCAGTAAAATGATAAACACGCCGAACACTTCACATCCTTGAGAAGTTGTATCGGCCGGAATAAGTCGATTGTTGATGAAATCTCGAGGAGTGGAAAAAGAGCTTGTTTGGCATCTGCTTGCTTACATCATCTGTGATTCCAGTGAGCCATACAACCACCTGATGGCGAACAAGTATACTGCACGACAACTAGCTCTGCCTTATTGTACTGTAGTGAGACATAATCATTTCAAGACAGAATACACAGAGAAATTATTGGTTGACGAGCAAAAGGTACCTCTGTAACAGTACTCGTGTATAGCGAAATCATCGCAAGGACAATATCAAGGTTAGGCGCAGAGTACTTGGCAGGGCAGGAAAGTCAGCTGATATAGTTGTACACTTGCACCGAATGATGTAAGTTGAACATATGTTATACATCCTGATCCACTACAAACCATGACGTCCAGTTTTAGCTAAAATAAGGCTAAATTAACAGAAGATGGGGGTGACAAGAGCAACACATGGTACGACTGCATAGAGTCTCTGATTGTTGATCTGAGCAACGAAGGGGAGAGGTGTAGACTGCTTAGATGGAGTTGTGGAGATGTTAGAAATTATTGGTTGGAGACCCTTCTTGTCATGAAGCAGAATTGGTCACAATCACAAAAGTATATTCACTGCCTGATATCTTTCAGATCTTCAATATTTTCATTAACTTTCATCGATTTGAACTGTTTCCTCTCTTAGAGTTTTGTCACTTCTCACTTTCTAATATTATTTCGATAGTGGCTGAATGTGAAGTTTCCAATATATGTTTCGCCCTACCAGAGATTCATCAGCTGAACAGGTTCATATTATTCTTGACGTTTGAACTTTAAACTGCTTCATTATCTCAAGCGCCGAACAGTTGTCCAGTAGACTTATGAGTTAAGATAGGCGCTTGTTTTATCAGTGGATTTCATATATTTTTGAAGGTTGAAACTTGTTACTGTTGTTTTGTTGTATTAGTTACGAAAAATAACAGAATTTTGAAGTTTATACTGACACTGGTACATATATAATAGGTTATCGATAAAACTAAGGTAATGGGACTGTTATGGAATGGAAAGTAGTCGGCTTATAAGGTGGTTTATAATGACAACAACTCCCTTGAGCAATCTGATTTGACATCAGCTAATAATAGAAGTGCAGTGATTGGTTTACAACCACCTCTATAATATAACTTTATGGCGTTTGAATCGACTGACACTGGCTTCGAGTCCCACTGAATTCTATTACCAACTACAACCAAGTGAATTATAACTATAAACATTCAGGCAATATCGAAGTATTCACATAAGAACCCATATGCTAACAGATGTGTAGGTTAATTCAATCCAGTAGAATGGGGCCAAATAGTCATTATTGAACTTTGATTTATACAGTTTCATCAATATTCTTATACTGATCAGGTGATCACTTAATTAACACTGAGAAAATGATGAGATAAACTGGATTGTTGATTGAATTACTTTTTTGAACGAACATATATGAATTTCGACTACAAAAATGGAGGTGAAAATGGTTGTACACCCCATTATTATATAAACAATAAAATATTTTACATCATACCTATTTATAGGTTTACAAGAATAGTTAAGACTAGACTTGAAAGGCAATTAGGATTGGTGTTATGCAAACCTAGCTGTTGACATATTGTACATAGATAGATATGGTGTATAAAACAAGATATTTGTTTATCTCTTCTAGTTATTTACGAGATTAACTTATTTGCTTCGATTGATTTTATCGATAAACACTAGTTTACTAGATAATGGGAGTTCTCAAAAAGTTTTTCAATGTCATATACTACTAGAAGGACCTGCTTGATATAAATGTAAGGCTTGTTGACATATCTATAACCAAAAGGCAATTGGTTATCTTTATGCTTTGAAAACTGGAAACTGCTTCACTACTACGGAGTACTGCAAACCTTTATCAGCCTCATTCAACAACTATATGAAGATGCCAGATGCCAAGTAATTCACAATGGGAAGCTCAGTGATGATTTTGAAGTGAAGACAGGAGCAGGAGTGAAACAAGGTTGCCTACTATCCCCCATGATATTCCTGATTGTGGTCGACTGGACTGGATCATGCAGCAAACAGTGGGGAGCTGTGAGAAGAGAGGGATACATTGGCTGGACTGCGGAAAACAACCTAGAAGACTTGGATTTCGCCAGTGATGACTTGTGTCTGATGTCACATAAACTTGAAGATCTACAGGCAAAAACTAACAAGTTGATAGAAGAGGCAGGGCAGCGAAGACGGGACTTCAAGTGAATATAGAGAAGACAGAGGTGATGAAGATACCGCACCACCACCATCAACAACAACAACAAACTCTAATCACCATCAATGGGAGAAACTTAAAGGAAATTGTCTCTTTCACCTACCTAGGCAGCACTGTTTCAACTACAGACAGCACAGGCACAGACGAGGATGTCAAATTCAGAATCGGAAAAGCAAGAAAGGTGTTCATTAGCCTGAAACCAGTGTGGAGATCTGCACTCAGCATGCGGAACAAGATCTGGATTTTGAACACCAACATCAGTCAAGTCAGTGCTTCTGTATGGTTCAGAGACTTGGCGCGTCACGAAAGGGATTTCCAATAAACTACAGACATTGATCAACAACTGCTTACGCTGGCTCGCTACTGAAGATCAGATGGCCAGAACAATAAGAATAAGCAACAAGTAGCTGTGGGAACGAACCATCCAAGAACCTATCGCTCAACAAATATGCAGAGGGAAGTGGAGATGGATTGGGCAAAGACTGAGAAGGCTGACTGGGGACATCATGCGTCAGGCCAGTTGCTCAAGTGGGATCCCCATGGGAAGCGACGAGTTGGACGTCCGAGGGTGACATGGAGGAGGTCGTGCGAGGAGGAAATGAGAGTTTGTGGGCTGTCATGGAACCAGGTTGAAAAGATCTCAGAGAACAGAGTTCACTGGAGACGTGCTAGTGAAGCCCTATGTTCCACTAGGAACCCAAGGGACTAATAATAATAATAATGCTTTGAAAACAACTTCATATATATGCTAACTGATGATAATTCGTTGGAACTAATGCATAGAATTGGAGCTGATTTTAACAAGAAGTGAGCAATATTAAAAGATAAATTATCCTCAATGTGATTCTCTCTTCAACAGTGATTTTAACGTCATTTCTGAAGGAAATTAGTATTTTTGTGCAGTTAATAACCTTAGATAGTTGGTAGGTGATGTTACAAAAATGAGTATATTTTGTCACTTTGAGACAGATCTGCAGTCTTCATCAGGCTCAAGACCAGCCTTAGTGGGAAATGTCAGAAAAAAATGAAATTTAGTCCTTTAGCTTCTTGTCAACCTTCTTCAGCCATTAGATACTTTTTTGCTATCATAAATTTAAGTTAAAGCGAGAACAGTTTTAGTGTGATAGCATAGATTCATTTTACTTAGACATTTCTCATCAACTGTTTACAACCTAAAACAGCCTAAATGTTTGGATACACAAAGCGCTGTTTATGTAATAATGATGGACAGTGCCTAGGAATGGAATCTAGGAGGTACACTCCGTCTTATTTGCTGGTCGGTAGTTGGATGTACCTGGACCCCAGGGAGTGATGTTGTCCTCAGCAAGACCCGAACTTGAGAGTGGTCGCTCTAAACGCTAGACTATTATTCACTGGGCCCCTGGGGCACTCTGGTGTTTGAAGCGATCAGTCCCTGGGTCTGAATCTTAGCGGGAACCACACCACTTAGTGGGAGGTAGGTACATCCAGCTGACTGGTCCCAAGTAAGATGAAACATTTGTCTTGAATTCCACTACTAGCCACTATCCACCATTACTTTAAAATTGAAACGACATGAGGTAGTGAGGCATCCGCACAGCAGCCTATATGCCACTAGACGTCGATCAATTCAATCCAATCAACGATGGGCTAATACAAAGAACAACATAAATAATATCACACAGTCAGAGTTTCAAGAAGTGAGTTATTATAACGACAAGAACTTATGATAAGGCTGTCTACATATCTCGATAGATTTGACGAATACTTTGAAGACAAGAACGGAAACTAGACAGTGAGGAGTCGACAGATGTACTCTAGATACTGAGAAGTCAGAATCGGGTTAGATTATTGGGAGTGGTTAGCAAGACGCTCTGCCTGATACAGGCTTTATGGTGGCCATTGGGACTTGTCATTTATTTGCGTCTGCAACCTATGGGGAAATGATATCCTCTGTGGGATTCGAACCCAAGTCAAACAGTACTTAAGTCAGCTATGTTTCCAGTGAAGTATTCGGGTTATCACTGACCTTATCCAGCACTGGGTTAAATAAAATGATGTACTACTAGACAGCAACTGATTTCATATAGTCTACTCGTAAGTACTGACCACATTCCAACCTGATTTAGGCTGGCAGTGGTTGATTAATTTGGGCGAACCAGAAATCGGAGTTTACAACATGTAACACTAAGGAGAGACGTTATTGACCTAGTGGCGTTTGAATCGATCCGTCTTCGGTTCAAGTCTCAGGGGAGGGGAGGGGAACAACATTCGTAGGATGGTAGGTACAGGCAACTGATGAGTCTCGAAGGGGACGAAGTACACTTTCTGGATTCTGCTGCTAGCTACTATCCACCATTAAATTTAATGCTTTCGCATATTTTGTTATTCATATTGTTGTAGCTTTTAAGCAGCTGACGAAAAACGTACGAAATAAGCGGGATCCAAACTATCGCAATATATGAACTTACTACGACATATTTTACAGCATTCATTGACTGGTTGAAATTGTTCACTTGGACTACACTTTAATGCAGGGCAATACATTGTTTGATTGACTTCACGACATTTCATTGTTCCATTCTAAAAAGAGATGAAAGATTAAATAATTTCTGTAGAACATATGACTCAACTATGCAGTTCAAACAACCTTAAGTAATCAATCTCATAATTGGTGGTTAATGCCGTCTACAAAAGTGCAACCTTGACATATCGATAGAATTTGTTCGGTACTCAGAACTAGACAACATAAAATTAGATGCTGTCCAGTGACCATTTGGTGTATCTAATGAAGTCCTGCAGGAGGTCAGTCACGGCCCGAATATCCCAGTAGTAACGTCTCTGATGACATAACTAGGTGGCGTGGGTTTGAATCGCATAGGGGACATCACTTCAATCGAGGTTGCAGATACGCCTTACTGACGAGTGCCAGCAGACAGCATAAAACCTTAGTCAAGCAGGGGTGGCTTCCTCCCGATTACTTCCAATCAACTAACGATTGAGTTTCATAATACACATTAGTACTAAGAAATATTATCATTCTTGCTGCATACCAAGCCCACAGTGTTAACAGAGAGCAATAATATAGATGGCTTGGTATAACTGGGTACCGAACCAAGTTGGCTGACTTCACATTGGCATATAGGGTTGACTGGTTGGCAACAACAGAAAAAAAAACATATAACTTCAGTGATATTATCTAAAACCCCAATGAAGCTTTTGGCTACAAATTTATCAGTGAAAATTACTTTCTACAAATTATATGGAGGCGATAATGTTTCCATTCTCAGTTGAATGCGTGTTGTAATGCGTGTTGCTAATCAGAATGGATATAAGTAGTATATGTTGAGAAAGAGGCAGAAATCATAGACAATTACCACCTATCAGTAAATATTCTACCCAGAGAAACGCAAGAGACAATTTGGGCGTGTTAAGAGCAAATCAAGATAGAAGCAGAAGAAGAAGAAATGAAGAACATTATGGAAATGACTGTTACGATGGAAGGTGGTGTACAATATTTAATGACTACTGTACAAGATGTCAATAATAAGCATTCCTTCCTTCGTCTCCGTCTTGTCATTTCCTGTAGTATATTTCAGAGTGACGTACCCTTAAACATTCACCCAACTTACCGTCAAAATACGTCATCAGAACCTTCCATTTACAGGAAATCTACGTGAACAGGATAGTAACTAAGTAACCATAGTTTTTGTCTACTTCAACATAAACCGTCACTAGTCATGCATCTACTCAACTTGGCTCAAAGGATATGCACAAATAATACTTGAAAAGAGGAAACGTGAAAACTCATGAAAATATTTTTAGACAATTATCTCTGAAATAAAAAATTGGTAATGGAAATGCCATGCAGCATAGAGAAATAATTATTCAGTCAGTTCCATGGACCGATGTATGGATCATGCTTCCGAAGATAGGTGACTCATACAGTCCATCTTCTAAACAAGGACTTAAGGCAACCATGTAAACAATGCACTATACAGCAAAGATAAACATTATAAAGAGAAATCAAGGTTTGTACTCTTGTGAACGTCCGCAGAATTTGAACGATTACCTCACATCCTAGCATGTTTATCAGTCTACATGTATGTGTGCTCACACACACACATGCACACAGAAGGAGGATCAATCAATTTATACAAGTAAAGGCCTCAGAACACATTCTAAAATTATTTCCACTACAAACTAAGTTGAATGATCCTATTGACGCATGCAATGAACGCCCAGTTTGGTCGACAGTTATACATATCAATGAAATAGGTCACAAGTTTGATTTGGATACATCTTTGAAACATGTGTTTACACAAGACGTCAAAGGTTTGTATTCAGGTCAGTTGAAGCTCTGGCTATCACAAAGTTTATATCTCTTTCATGTATTCAGAAATGATTCAGTAACTTAGCTTTAATATCGAGGGTGATTTATACATTACCTTTCTCATTCCATCTATCATTTGATGACTTGGGAAACAAGTTGACCCTTTATCCTTTTAACATTAAAGAAAAAAGCCGTTTATCTAGTTATATTTTGCATAAATATACATGAGAGGTGAGTGTTTGATCAGACTGTCTGAAATGCCTTGGAGTAACCAACCACACGTTTCACATGAACTAAATCTTCTTATTGTTTTATCGAAAATCATATTTGAAACAATTAGTCTCTTTTATGAATTTCGATAGGGTAATTAGAAGACGAAGTTTATCTGAACAATATGATGTATTTGCACAATACATTTCGAACAATCTGATGCCCCACACATTTACTTGTCAAGTCAATATATATTAAACCGAGGACTGGGAAGGGGGATAAATACAACAATTAACACAATAGGGGATTAAAATTAAGAAAGATGAGGACAAATGGGAAGTGACATCGTCCTAATCTTGGTAAGAAAACAAAGTTTACCAAGGTGGGTGCAGTGTAATAACACATAAAGGTGGTTTAAATTTGTGTATGGCTATGGCTTCCGCAAATCTCAGAATACGTCCCAGACTGTTTCTATATAAAACTTTGAAAGTTGTTTGAACACTAACTTTGCAACCTGTTTCTATAATATGTTTAGCTATAGATGAAGAGGGTAGTCTCCCACCAGCGTTTATCACTGTTTCACACTCCGTTTGTTTTTGAAGCCATTTAGGCACATGTTCTCCCACCCTCAACTGCATGACTCGATTACTCCTCCCTATGTATGTGTGACCACACACACATATATGTAAATTGGTAAACACAATGGGATGTGACGTAATCACTGAAGCAGTGTTTAGGTTCTTGGTGAAGCATGTGTTTTGTTTTCTCCACAATGGTAAGATTCTTTGCGTAATACGTTTTCCTAATGGCTGATGTCAGCCTTCGTCTCAAAATGATACTATTTAGCTCCCCTCTGTATGGTAGAGTGATATGGACATTTTTCTTGAGGACCGTGTATAGAGTTGGCTTTGGTGCTACTTGACCTCTACAACGGTTTACAAACTTCATCGGATATCCATTTTCCATAAGTGCTTTGGTCAGTAATTTGATATCTTCATCCATCGCATCTGGTGTACTGACACGATAGATCCTGTTAAACAGGCATTTTACTAAACCTCGCTTGTATTGGATTGGACAAAAACTGTGGAAATTCAGGTATTGTCCTGTTCATGTAGGCTTTCTGTAAACTGACCGTCTTATTGAACCATCTTCTCGTTGACTGAGAAGTATATCTAGGAATGGCAGTTGATTACTGTCCTCCTTCTCACATGTCAGGCTGATGTGTGTTTGTACGGCGTTAAGTCTATTTGGTAGACAAACCATATCCTCATGCGTCTCACAAATCACTATCATGTCATCAACATATCTCTTGTAAAGAGGAACTTTAGCGATGAGATCACCAGCCAGATTTTCAATATATGACATAAATATCAGCCAGTAGTGGTCCTAAAGGACTACCCATAGCTACACCGTCAACTTGTCGAAAGCGTTCACCTTCAAATGTGAAGTGGACTTTGTCGGTACACAGCAATACTAACTCCTTCAGAAAGGTTGGAGTAATAGGAAATGGGAGGTTTTTTGAAGATATATAGTGACACAGAAAGCTAATAGTCTTGGACAATGGCACGTTAGTGAATAAGGAATTTACATCGAAAGAGTACATAATCTTGTTTTTTATATTTATGTTACTAAGACAGTCAACAATTTGAAAAGAATCTTTCAATGAAAACTTACAGAATTCGTTTCAAAGTGGATTTAACATTTTTGCCAACCATTTGGCCAGTTTATATGTGGGGGAACGACACATAGACAATATAGGGCGTAAGGGATTATTAGCTTTATGAATCTTAGGTAATCCATATAAATTTGGAAATTCGGATCCCATAAGTTTCAATGAATTAAATTCCTCTTTGCTAATGGTATTCATTCTCAAAAGTTTTACTGAATGAGCGGTTACTTTTGCTTCCGATTTCCTAATATCTTCTGATGGGACATCGGCTATGAATTTGCTTTCATTGTTGAGGGTGGATAACATTTTTTTATAGTCAGATTTATATATATATATAATGTATTATTATATTGTTTACAATCATAAAAGTCACAGAAAAGTAATAAAATAAGAGGATGAAATAAATTATTATTATTATTATTTGTCCCTCGGGTTCGTAATGGAACATAGGGCTTCACTAGCACGTCACCAGTGCACTCTCTTCTCTGCAATCTTTCCGACCTGGCTCCACGACAGCCCACAACCTCTCATTTCTTCCTCACACCATCTCCTCCATGTCACCCTCACCTCGAACGCCCAACTCGTCCTTTCCCATCTGGGTTCCACTCGACGGACTGGCCTGATACGTGATAACCCAAGTTGGCCTTCTCAGTGCATGCTTAGTCCAATCCGTATCTACTTCCTTCTGCGTATTTGTTGAGTGATAGGTTCTTGCTTTGTTCGTTGCCAGCTAGCTAGCCAGCCAGAGTTCCTTGTTGCTTGTTCTTATTATTCTGGCCATCTGATCTTCAGTAACGAGCGTAGGAAGGTGTATAATTATGTCACTTTTATATGAAAATATCCATTCTAGGGCTGTAGAATTTCATTGAATCATCGATTCCATCTGCTTCATAAGTCTCACTAAGAAAGTATACATTGGCTAGGGTACCTCATCCACTGGTTTTTTTTGCATCTAGCTCTCGTAATACCTACCTCATACAGTGATTTCATCCCATTCCATATTAGATTTGTTTATTTGATTTATAAGACACAGTGATATGGTATAATTTACTTGATAATGTTTCGAGCATAAATTATTGCTCATAATCATATAAGTGTAATCACACTACTTTCGACATCTTATTTATATAGTCCCGTCACCTGATATGCTTTGTTTCTATTGGTAGCAAACTTTTCCATATCTCTACCATAGGTGTTGCATCATTCTTATTAAATGTGCTGAGTGTTGATTCGATGAACAAGGATTCAGTAACCAATCCATCAATCTCTCTCTCTCTCTCCACCTATTGGACAGTACAGTACAGTGGCTTTGTCCCACCCATCCTATTGTGTAGTTGTGTGTTAATGCGTGCAATGCAATAGCCGAGTGCTTTTCTAGATTATTGATCTTATTCGGGTCTGTCATTATTCTATATTTAACTAAATTCCTATGTTCAGCTATACTAACTGACCCCGACCGGCTAGTTTCACCTATGTACTTGACTTCACAGTCATTACATGCAATTTGATACATTAGATTATTTTCCTTAATTGGTTGAATTGGATCCTTAAGCCATCCGACAAAGTGTGAATTCGTGGGTTCAAATGCAACCCTAATTCCAGCTTTGTTGAGGACCTTACGCAAAGTTTCTGATGTACCTTCCATATAGGGTAACACAATGTAGACTGTGAACTCCTTTCGTTATTATTCATACGTCTGTTACTGTTATCTTTTTGCTTCTCGTGTGTTCATGCGAATTTCTCAATAAACTGTGGAGGATAATTATCAGTTGTTAACACTTTTACGTGTTCCAATTCCTTGTTTAGGTTCTTGCACTGACTTGTCAGTTTTCTAGGTCTATCATTTAGACATTTGACTAAACCTATCTTAACTGACTGACATTAGATGCGATGATTTGAAGTCTAGGTACCTGTTGGAATGTGTTGGTTTTCTGTAGACGGTAGTATCCAAATCACCATCTGTCCTTCGTTTTATTCTGTAATTCAACACAAATGTGTCATCCGCACATCGCCACCATATCTTAGGGGCAGGATTATACGTTTGTGAAGCCATAAATATTACATAAATAGGTGAATAAAAATATATATAAATATATAAATAAACATTACATTGGTATGATTACAGGGAATAATAATTTATCCTCGAAACGTTATCAAGTAAAAATTACTGAACAAATCTAATATAGAATTAAATTCTACCACAGTGTCCAAGTTTTATACCTATATTGATTTCATCCTATATCTGCTATACTACCCACATGAAGGCGTCAAATGCATGTAGCCTCCACTAACTCTCTCATCTTTGGCAACCATTTTCAACACTGTACTCATAGCCTTTTACATGCATTCGAAAAACAAAAGTGGCACAAATCGATGAAAGCTAAATACCTCTGTTTGTGTCAATGTCAAACCTTTGTTATCCGCCAAATTCCCTAGTCTGATGTAACCTCTAAGGTATATGAGTTGGTCAGAGGGATCTATTGATTTTAATCCCAGCTATAAAATAAGATGCTGATACAATTTACTTAGTTGTTAAGCAATCATCTGCATTTCAGAGGTCGGGAATGCATTCCACATAAATACGCTTCAATCTCAAGATTTAGACAGGGTGGAGGTGCTCAAAACTGAGTCATAGCCTTGTACGGCTAGCCTGAGTTAGGCATTTCCTCAGGTCTGAAGCACACCTGTGTACAATTCCCACATTATTTGAGTGGACCCTTGTAGCATGATTCTTTCTAAACTTCCTAGCCGCCAGTATGAATGATCAGACTGAGAAGAACGTGGCTGTCTTTCTCCCAATCCGTCTAAAATATCTCTTCCATGCTGATGAATGTCTGTGCAAGTTAATTAAAGCTTTTTTGTTGAAATACACCCAAATATAAGATACACTATTCGACTTACCATGCATATACACTGTACACAGCCTCGCATTATACTGTCTCCATGAATATATACTTGACCCATGAACTGACAGTTAGCTGGATGAAAGGAAGAAAACACTATGAAGGGTTATCAATACTTGGCTGTATGCTTCACATAAGTTATTAACTCAAAGACAAACAGATATAGTTTAGCAGTGGAGTAATGTCCACTCATTCAAATCACTGACTGAATGTATAAGTGTTCACCACGAGATGAGAACATCCTGAGCCAGGTATAGGTGCACTCTGTTCGTGAATCTCAAACTATTCAGCATACTTCAAACTGAGCAACTAGGCATTATCATCTGCCTATAAACACAAACCTTCTCTCGCTCTAGTGAACTAATGAGATGACTCTGAAATTTCAACATGACTCCTGTGCAGTTTCCAGTGATGAAATTCTTCAGAGTTCACGTTTGGCAACTAATCTCATTATTAAGAATGGATAGCAGCTAGCAGAGAAAGCCACCATATGGGTTTTGCTCCATTTAGGACTCATAATCTGTATGTACCTACCTCCAGTAAGTATTATTCCCATCGGGACTTGAACTCAGAGCTCATCCCCTCAGACACCACTGGGTAACGATTACAGTTTATTCTAGGAAATTGAAATTTCCTGTTGTTGACTGATATGGACCAAAATTGATCGACAACTACCGGCATATTGGATTGTGTGCGAATGCCTTAGTATTACCGGTAAGGATGCTTAGTGGATTCTGGTTTTAGTGGGAAGATCGTCACTCACCATGAGGTGAGTACATTCAACCTACTATTCCCAACGCACTTCCTTGACTCTTTAATATCAAAATAAAATCACTTGCCAGTATACCGACAGAAACCCATCGATTCCGTCCAACCTATTTAAGAACGGTTCCCAATGCAAGACTTGCTGCCGTTTATTATTATTTGTCCCTTGAGTTCCTAGTGGAACAGGGATTTAGTAGCATTCCTCCATTCCACTCTCTTCTCTACAGTCTTTTCAACCTGGCTCCATGACTCCCAATAACCTTTCAATTCTTCCACACACCATCTCCTCCATATCACCCTTGACTCGGACACCCAACTCGTCGTTTCCAATGAAATTCCACTAGAGGGCTTGGTACGTGATGTTCCCAAATGGCCTTCTCAGTGCATGTCCAATCCAATCCATCTCCACTTTCCTCTGCATATTTGTTGGATGATGGGTTCATGGTTGGTTCGTTGCCAGGCCATAGTGGGTTCCCTGTTGCTTATTCTCATTATTCTGGCCATTTGATCCTCAGTGTCAGTATCGAGTGAGTGTGGGCGGTAGCTGTTGATGTGATAGATGTCTGCAGTTTGTTGCAAATGCTTTTCGTAACGCGCCAAGTCTCTCAACCATCACATAACAAGCACTGACTTTGGCGTTGAAAATCCAGATGTTGTTCCACATGCTGAGTGTAGCAGATCTCCACACTGACTTCAGATCAATGAAGGCCTGTCTTGCTGTCTTTCCGATTCTGGCTGCTTTGACATCTTCATCTGTACAGCTATCTGTAGTTGAAGAGATGCTACCTTGCCTAGGTGGGTGGAAGAGACAACTTCGTTTAGATTCCTCCCATTGATGGTGATTGGTGCTTGTTGTTGTCGTCACTGTTGTTGTTTTTGTTGATGTTGGTTGGATATCTTCATCACCTCTGTCTTCTCTACGTTCACTTGAAGGAAGTTCAGTCTTCAGTGCATCGCCTCACCTCACTTCACCTCACCTCACCTCATCTCTTCTGTCAACTTGTTGGTTTTGCCTGTAAATCTTCGAGTTTGTGCAACAAGACGTCAGGCATAAATCATCATCGCCAGCGAAATCCAAATTCTCTTGTGGGGTCTTTTCATCACACTAGCCAGCATATGCCTCTCCTCTCGCTAGTCACAGTTTGTTGCATAATCCAGTCAAGTCAATCACGATCAGGAAGATCATTGGTGATATTAGGCGACAGCCTTGTCCTACACCTGTCTGTCTTCCCTTCACAGGTGTCATTGAGCTTCCCATTGTGAATCACTTGGCATGTAACATCGTCATACAGCTAGTTGTTGAATGTTTTTGGCACTAAAACCGTAGTGTTGAAGCAGCAGGTGCCAAATTACTTCTCTGTTGACGCTGTTGAAGGTCTTTTCAAATTGGATGAAGTAGAGGTTGGGTTGAGTTGAGTTGAGTTGACTGACATTCTATTGTCTGTTCTATGATGATGCGTAGTGTGACGTTGCGTCTCAATTTGATCCGCACATGATTTCTTCTTCCTGAAGCCAACTAGCCAACGTTTTCCGGTCGTACTTTTAAATCCAGCGCGCCTTTTAGTCCCTCCAGGATGATGCGGCCTTATACTTTGCTTGGGCTGGATGAAGACTTGATTCGTCACCAGTTCTTGCAAACACTTAGGTCTCCCTTCTTTGGAAGTTTGATAAGGTAGTCCTTCTTCCAATCAGTCGGCAGGTAACTTTGCATCCTTCCAAACCTTCTGCAGTAGTGTTGTGAGCGCTGCTGTTTAGATGCTTCCAATAACATAAGTTGTTTCTTCATAATGCGTTGCATAAGTACAATATTTGATCACCGAAAAACTCTTTCAACACAGAGGGTTCAGTTTCGTTGAATACACTTGACAGTACATGTTTAAACGATGCATATAACTCTGTTGATATCAACACTGGTTAGCAGAGATGAAAGGGCGACAATTGCAGATGAAAGCCGTTAAATTCCTGAAAACCAGAAGTGACCGCAGGTGGTAAAAATGTTGACGAAGCAGATGTAAGAAAGTAACAGCGAAGTGGTTACTGAGCTCAACCAGTAAAAATTAATCCCCATACAGTGTTGTTGTATAAATACTTGGCTAAACTCTCAGCTTTTGAACGGGTTTCAGACCGACTCCTTAGTCTAAGTAAGCTTCTGAATCATAGGCATATTAGTAGGTAACAGACCACAGTCGTATGTGAGGCATCTGACTCTCCTTACTGATGGCTTCGACGACGGTATCCAGAAGCACATAGTCTACTGAATATATGCATTAGTCAGAGTATCCAGAAGGTGTATAGGTGTATCACATTCTTTCCGTTCCTTTTCTTTGCAGACTTCTTTTGTTGAACAAAAATATCCACCACCACAAACACAACTGGTGAAGTCACCTGGATATGTCCTTCAAATACCATTACCAGACACAATCAAGTCTGAGACAAGGAATAACTAAGAAAGTAATCATACATATGTGATCGCCCCTACCATGGTTTAAATGTCGAGGTGAATAACGCTCTGGCGACTCAACTTTCCAGTCCCGGGTTCAAATCCTGGTATGGCCAACATCGCTTCCTGCAAAGCGAGAAGGTCTAGCTGATAACTTCCGAATAGGATGAAAAGCGCGTCCTAGATTCCATTGCTTGTTAATATCCGTCACTAGTATAAAAAAGTAATCATACTTTCAACTATCAGTCAAGGTTATGGAAAGTATAACACTTGTGTTAAATTCACTGACTAGATTGTAGAGACTATTTAATTTTAAAGTAGTTTTCCTTACAAATTGATGTCAATTAGAAAGCAGTTACGGCATGGAGGCATTGTAGAGCCGTTTTGTCCTAGTTTGAGACTTCAGTAGTACGCACCCACAACCTCTATTCAAGGACAGTCAGATGTCGTAGTCAACACGTTATTATACAACCATTGGGTTGAAATCAAATGGTTCACATTTTCTCACTTTTGTCGATTCTTAATACTCTGTGATCATTGTCATTGTCGGGCATTCGCATCACTCCCGATTCGGTTGACCTCATAAGTAATAATTTATCATTTCAGCTTACAGAAATACCCCTTAAAGCAAGCAATCCAGTTATTAGACCTCAGAGACTGATCGATTGATTTAAATGTTACTTAAATCATAGAGTGACAAAAGTTGCGCAACCACTGAAAACCTAAACAGCTGTTTTATTCCAGTTCTAAAACTCCAAGTCATTAAGTGATGAGTAACATACTCAAGGTAAGACCTAACTAGTCCTGGATTTTACGTCTTATAAAGTTTCCTGAAGTGCACTGATGAGAAGTCTCTGGCGACGAAGAAATTGCCTTCAAATGTTACTAGGTTTTCCATACTTCTCCAACTGTTCTCAGTTCAAAGATGGCAACTATTTTCATATTTATTTTAAAATTACAAGCTTTTTAACTTAAATTTCTAAAATTCATTTTTCTACTAGTCAACATCTGGCATCATGTGTAATGCAAAGACTTCTAATGCTCTTGACATATGTGTTTTGTAACATATTTTGCACTACATACCATATAACTATATAAAATCTCCTACTTTCTGAAATAAACATCCATTGAAGAGAACTAGTCTGAACGAAAATATGTACCCCATTTTTTTATACTCTGAAAGTTTTGAAAATGGATGTCCAATGAAGGGTTTCATTAGATTTTGAAGAGAATATCGACAACAAAAATTCTGATCAAAAAGGTTGAATGATAAAATCTGTCGATTTTATTATAGTAGGAGTTGCTGATAACAATGGATATAAGTAGTATATGTCGAGAGGATCGCAGGAATCATAGGGAATTATCAACAACGGGTAAGGTTCCTGCCAAGAGCAATGCAAGAGATAATGGAGGCGTATTACAATGGGTGCTACTGATAAGAATGTAAGAAGAGCAGATCAAGAGCAAATCAAGAGAGAAATAGACGAGGAAACGAAGACATTTGCAAATGACTGGATTAGTGCAAGGTGTACTATATGTAACCGCTACCTTTCCAATCTAAGCTACGTAAGTGGAGTATCGTATTTGCCTCCTGGCACCCTTCGATAGCTAGGCATTACTAAAGAGGCTGTGTGTGTATGTGCATGCAGTGCTGTTAGGTATAAGGGAGGAGGGGGGTAAACCTGCCGTCTGCTGTACACTGATTCTCAAAACTAATACAGCGATCGGTGTTTATACCATCGCTGAAATGTTGGAACTGGTTGTGTAAGCAACACGAAAGCTAACACTGACCGAATTCGACATAGTCGTCAAATGTAACTTTATGCTCTATATCATGCGTTGTATGATACTGTTAGAATTCATTGACTGAAATCAATCAACTTAGAAATTTGATACTTTGTAGTGAATAATAAAAGCCGAAATGATCAGTTTATGTTGGTGAAATGACAGAGTAAAATATTAAATTACAATATTAGATTTGTTTATCTAGTGTTTAGCATATAAAGATGCAGTGTGTTATTTACTTGATGACAACATTTTGAGCATAAATTCTTATTCCTCATAATCATATCAAACTAAGTAATTACACAATTGCTAACATCTGACTTTCATACTCATATCGTCTCATATTGGTAGTAAAATTTTTCATATTTCTGGTATACGTGTTGCATCACTTCTGTTACACGTGTTGGGTGCACACTCCCTGTCTCTACCTAATTACATTGGACAGTACAGTACAGTGATTCTATCCCACTCACCCTGTTCTGAGGTTGTGTGTTATTGCATCCATTGGAATAGTCGAGTGTTTTCTCTAGATTATCGATCTTATTGGAGTCTATCATTCTATATTTAGCTATGTCACTATGTTTCACTATTCTAACTGACCCTGATCGGATAATTTGACTGCACAGTCATTGCATGCAATTTGATAGATTAGATTATTTTGCTTAATTGCTTCTGTCGTATCCTTAAACCAGCCGACAAAGCTTATCTCTGAGTTAGTTCTTAGGCTTGAATTGGGGCTTGATTTAAATTTTGCTGAGAATCCTATATAAAGTTTCTAATGTACCTTCTTTATACAAGAACACAATGGAGATTGTGAACTCCTTTCTACTTGTGTTTTCGTTATTATCCGCACTTGTGTTACTGTTATCTTTTTGTTTCTTGTGTGTTTATGCGAATTTCTCAATAAACTGTGGAGGATAATTATCAATTGTTAACGCTTCTTTTATGTACTTCAGTTCCTTGTTAAGGTCCTTGCACTGACTAGTCAGTTTCCTACCTCTATCATTTTGACATCCGACTAGACCTGCCATAACTGATATTCTGTAAGTTGATTTGAAGTCTACATACCTGTTGGAACGTATTGGTTTCTTGCAGATGGTAGTATCTAAACCAAAGCGTGTCCTTCGTTTTATTCTGTAATCCAACATAGGTAATTCTCCTGGTTCATTTTCTACCTCATAGACTTCAGGTCATTTCGAGCATAAGTTATTTCTCATAATCACATCAGCGTAATCATAATACTTTCGACATCTGATTTTCATACTCCTATCGTCTCATTTTCTCTGTTTTTATTGATAGCAAAATGTTTCACATCTTTGGTATAGGTGTTGCGTCATTAGTGTAGTGGATGTTGATTCGATGAACAAAGATTCAGTAATCAATCTGTCCCCCCCTTAATTATTTTGGACTGAAGTACAATGATTTTATCCAACTATGTTGTGCAGTTCATTAGGAAACTCATTGGAACACGTATGATACGAGGCAATAATAGTAGTATGAACTTGAATAATAACGACAACACAAGTAGAAAGGAGTTCACAATCTCCATTGTGTTCTTGTATAAAGAAGGTACATTAGAAACTTTATATAGGATTCTCAGCAAAATTTAAATCAAGCCCCCATTCTCGGCTGGTTTAAGGATACGACAGAAGCAATTAAGCAAAATAATCTAATCTATCAAATTGCATGCAATGACTGTGCAGTCAAATTATCCGATCAGGGTCAGTTAGAATAGCGAAACATAGTGACATAGCTAAATATAGAATGATAGACTCCAATAAGATCGATAATCTAGAGAAAACACTCGACTATTCCAATGGATGCAATAACACACAACCTCAGAACAGGGTGAGTGGGATAGAATCACTGTACTGTACTGTCCAATATAATTAAGTAGAGAGAGAGAGATTGATTACTGAACGTGTGTTCATTGGATCATCCAGCACACATCCAGCCCATTCAATAGGAGTGATGAAACCCGTATACGAGAGATGTGGAGAAGTTTACTACGAATAAAAACAAACTATATAGGTGATAGGACTATGGAAAATCGTATGTCCAAAGTTATGTGATTACATTGATATGATTACTAGCTGTAATTTATCCTTGAAACGTCATCCAGTTAATAATACTATATAAATGTGTGCTATAAATGAAGTAACCAGATCTAATAGAAATTTGCATTCTACCAGTGTCCAGGTTTTACTCTTATATTCATGAAAAAATCTGTCCTTTGGAGTAGGGGTGCTTTGGTTCGAGTCCCAATAGGAACACGAAACAAGAGTGTAAGTGAATTCAGCTGACGAACTTTGAGTATAGCAAAATATTATATCTTATATTCCATGGAATAGGCACTACGGGATAAAAAGCTGTGATGTGTTAACAACTTTATGATCACTGGTTTATATCGTTAAGATTGATCTCGTTTTGTTTAGCAGTAATTTTTGTGATCTAAAGTGGAAACTTTCCAAATTCATTCGGTAAACAATCTTGAGTAGAATGTTTAATTTGTTGAGCATGGTGGTACTATAATTATTATTATTCAAGAATATTAACAAGATAATTAAAATTCTGTTACCTGGACATTGTGAACAGCATTCATCTTGTCTTCTAATTGGATTTGTACAATTCAGCAATGGACATTTAATCGGTGTACATAATGCACCTGCCAACTGTTAGAATAAAAAGCATAAACATCATCTTTTGAATGTACGTTTAAGAGATAAAAACTTATGAAAATATTTCATCTATGAACTGTCTATTTTAGAATATCTTTATTTAACATATAACAATGGAAAGCTAGATGCGCTGGATTCAAAACTACGACCGGAACAGGTTGGCTGGATGTAGGAAGTACAAATCGTGTGTGGATCAAATTGAAACGCTTCGCATCATCATAGAACAGAGTATAGAATGGCAGTCAACCCAACTAAATCCCAACTTCATCGACTTTGAATAAGCCTTCGACATGGTCGATCGAGAAGTAATTTGTCAACTGCTTCAACACTACGGAATACCACAAACCTTTATCAATCTCATTCAACAACTATATGAAGACGCCACATGCCAAGCAATTCACAACGGGAAGCTCAGTGATGCTTCTGAAGTGAAGACAGGAGTAAGACGAGGCTGTCTACTGTCACTGATGATCTTCCTGATTGTGGTGGGCTGGATCATACAACAAACCTTGAGGAGCGAGAAGATGGGCATACGCTGGCTGCACCGGTGAAACGATTCCACAAGAAGATTTCGATTTCGCCGATGATTTGTGTTTAATGTCACACAAATGCGAAGGTCTACAGGCAAAAACTAGCAAGTTGACAGAAAAGGCAGGGCAGAGAAAGAAGACGTGACTCCAAGTGAACGTAGAGAAGACAAAGGTGATGAAGATACCAACAACCACCACCACCACCACCACCAACAAGCTCCAATCACCACCAGCGGCAACACTTGAAGGAAGTAGCCTCCTTCACCTATCCAGGAAGCACTGTTTCAACTACCGGCAGCGGCACAGGCACAGACGAGGACGTCAAAGCAGCCAGGATCCGAAACACAGCAAGACAGGCGTTCATTAGCCTGAAACCAGTGTGGAGATTATCTGCACTGCACTCAGCATAAAGCGTGAACAAGATGCGGATTTTCAACACCAACATCAGTCAAGTCAGTGCTCCTATATGGTTCAGAAACTTGGTGCGTTACGAAAGGCATTTCGAACAAACTACAGACATTCATCAACAACTGCCACCTACGCTGCCTCGTTGCTGAAGATCAGATGGCCAGAATAATGCGAATAAGCAACAAGGAACTCTGGCTGGCTAGCTAGCAGGCAACGAACAAACCAACAACCTATCACTCAATGAATATGCAGAAGGAAGTAGATACGGATTAGACTGGGCATGCACTGAGAAGGCCGACTTGGGATATCACGCATCAGGCCAGTCCGTCGGGTGGAACCCAGATGGGAAAGGACGAGTTGGGCGTTCGAGGTGAGGGTGACATGGAGGAGATGGTGTGAGGAAGAAATGAGAGGTTGTGGGCTGTCGTGGAGCCAGGTCGGAAAGATTGCAGAGAAGAGAGTGCACTGGTGACGTGCTAGTGAAGCCCTATGTTCCATTATGAACCCGAGGGACAAATAAAAATACTGGAAAGTTATGATTCTACAATTCGTTAAATCCTGTACTTGCGACTACTTTTAATCGGTTAGCCCCGGATCATTCAGTGTTGGAACCAGCTATGTTACCAATAAGATATTGAGGCGACGATTAACTTCTTGTAGGACTGGATCAGATAAATTGGATTGGTCACTGGAGAGTAATCAACTTTATGTTATCTAGTCCTGAGTGATAACCGAATTCGATGAGGGATTTCCTGATGTGGCCATCAAGTTTAGGAGGCTTATCATCGCGTTACACTTTGATAGGTATTTGTTGATTGGAGATTACTGGCAAAAAAACCAGCGATACTAAACCTAATTTTTGTGCTGGCTGTTTGCAATCGTCAGTCATGCATAACTTCAACCCTGACAGATATAAGATTCAAACAGAGAGGAAAATAAAATCAATGTAAATTGTGCACACAAGTGCATCACTTCATGTTGCCATATTGAACAGTAATGTATAAAGCATAGGTGAATAGAATAACAGTGGATAAAGTAGTGTGAGAGAATAAAATGCAACATTGCTACTGACTTTCAGCCATGTCACCAAGAGCTAGTCCTCAACCACTGACTCCTATCGTTTCGGAAACCCCAGTCAGGTAGTCTGCATCTCCCCACAACAGTCAGACCAACAGTTAGGGATTTCATGGACGTGTACCATGTTTTGGTCTCACCACTCTGAACCCTGTTCCAAATTGATCCAATTTCTCCTAGCATGGCATGTTGAGGTAGGCAGTGACTGGGCATGCGCATTACATGTCCAAACCAACTCAGCCGATAAAGTTTCACAACGTCATGAATCATCTTACCCATCTTACCTAGAATCCCCCCATCTGACCTCAACATTGCTAACACGGTTATATCGTCGAACATGGACAATGCTGTGAAGATACTTATGATCAATATCCTGCAATCCTTTCAGCCCCTCGACTTTCACCGGTCGTCTCTCACAGTCGTATAAAAAACAGGTGACACTGGAGACGCCGGGACTCCAGATGAGATTTGAACCCGCATTATCCAGTGTTTACATTGAAGATTAATTTGACGGCTGTCAGCAGAGTGAGTGACAGATCTATAATACGACTGATTGACACTTAAGTTGACAGATAATTAAATTCCCATAGACAATTAGCTGCAATCGTTTTACCAGACGCTGAATTTCATGTTTTATTTACAAGGATGTTGTATGTTGAAATAGATCTTGGAACAGTACTTGTCTCACCAACTCTAGTGGTAGTAGTTATGTGATTAGTAGTAGTAGTAGTAGTAGTAGTAGTAGTAGTAGTAGTAGTAGTAGTAGTAGTAGTAGTAGTAGTAGTAGTAGTAGTAGTAGTATAGGGGACTATGAGACTAAGACGCAGGAAGGAATGTTTAGTAATACATCTTGTACAGTAATCATCAAATATTGTGCAATTTCAACTATTATTATATTATATTATTATTATTATTATTAGTCCCTTGGGTTCCTAATAGAACATAGGGCTTCACTAGCACGTCTCCATTCCACTCTGTTCTCTGAAATCTCAACCTAGTTCCACAACAGCCCACAAGCTCTCATTTCCTCCTCGCACGACCTCCTCCATATCACCCTCAGCTGGGACGTCCAACTCGTCGCTTCCCATGGGGATTCCACTTGAGCAACTGGCCTGACGCATGATGTCCCCAGTCAGCCTTCTCAGTCTTTGCCCAATCCATCTCCACTTCCTTCTACATATTTGTTGAGTGATAGGTTCTTGCATGCTTCGTTCCCACAGCTCCTTGTTGCTTATTCTTATTACTCTGGCCATCTGATCTTCAGTAGCGAGCCAGCGTAAGCAGTTGTTAATGAATGTCTGTAGTTTATTGGAAATCTCTTTCGTGACGCGCCAAGTCTCTGAACCATACAGAAGCACTGACTTGACGTTGGTGTTGAAAATCCACATCTTGTTCCACATGCTGAGTGCAGAAGATGCAGTTCCAGCTAAGACTGTCATTTTCACAATGTTCTTCACTTTCTCTTCCGCTTCTGTCTTGATTTGCTCTTAATACGCCCACATTGTCTCTAGCGTTTTTCTTGTCAGACTGTTTACCCATTGGTGGTAATTGTCTATGATTTCTGCTGACCTCTCAACATGTACTACTTACATCCATTCTGATTAGCAGCGCCCACTGCAGTAGTAGTAGTAGTATTGTGAGTGATAGTAATAGTAGTAGTAATTGTTGTTGTTGTAGGTAAAAACAACTTCACTTTTACTATCATAGATGTAATAGTGTCGACATTATTTAGTTTCTGCAATTACTAAACTTAAAAATATTATCCAAGGAGTAAACCTGTTGTAATATCATATGTTGTGGATTGCACACTGCATCTTAAAATATTTTCTGGAGTAAAGTGCCTATTATTATTATTATCATTATTATTAGGAAGCTTTTTTGACTGTGAAATAACCTTGTCATGCATTTAACACTCAAGACATTGGCGCGCAATCTATACTTTGATATTGAACAACAATTTATGGCTCAGAACCTGTCGTAGGCCAGTCGTTAGGTTTTTTGACACTCCGTTGTAACCTGATGGGTAGGTCCTTTCGCCAATTGGCATGTATCCAAGCAACGCAGATCCTATAAGCACGGAATGGAACGCTTCCTAATGGATTCTGTTAACACCCTCCAAAATTGATTACTGCCATCCCAAACCTTCAAATTGTCAAGCTTTTCTGTGAACACATTTATCAGGTATTCATATGGTTGATCGTTGTCAACTCTTTGTAAGCAGATGTACTTGAGACATGTCTCACTAAAGTTTCCATTAACTTGTAGAAAGACGGCAGTTCAACCTTCCCAAAAAGACTCGTCTAGGAGGCCTGGCTCTTGAATCCATAATGTCAACGAATTGGTGGCGGTAACTCTCCTCATGTTACTGATATATAGCCAAGCTAAGGCTAACAATACTAGCATTTCAAACGGAATGCTGTTTCACCTTGAGAAGATGAACTACACTTAATCTCTTGGGATTGCTTCCATAACAATGACTACATGAATTAGGAAGCCGGATTCCATTACCATTTAGTTACACTACCGTCAGTAAGCTCAGCTGCAGCTGACTGCAAACAAGCCCTCCGTCATTTGGAAACCTATGGCATTGATCGTATGTATATGGATCTTGTCAACCTTGGCTTTCGCTTATTCAACTTGACAGTGTATTACTTAGAATCCAGAGAGCCCATGAGGAGGTTGACTGTCATACGTAACTAGGCTTAATTCAAAATACCCACAGCACATATGTACCCGGTTTTTATGAGCTAACGACACAAACCCATCGCCAGTTAACTGGTATTTCCCGTTTCTACACATATGGAGCCTTAGATGTGCTGATAACCAATTATATCGTTTTCCACTAAACACAGTAGAATAATTTTGAGCGGGGTCGCAAGTCACGTGTTACTACGTAAGTGGGATCATGAAAAAACACTTGAAAATTTCTTTGAGAAGAGCATCTACTACTGTAAAGCTATACTACTTATTCTTTAATCTACCAGCGTTAACCAAATGAAATAAAGACAGACTGTCTAAATTCATTTCATTCATATGTATTTACCAGTTTAACTAGTTCTGTGGAACCAGTTACATTTAGCGTCAGATTAGACAAGTTTTCTGATGCATTTCTGAACAGCTTCCACGACGACTGAGTAAAAGATGAATGGCACCAACAAAATTTCCATATTTAAAACTTTGGTTGATACTAAACACCAATGAAAATGTACTATTAAAGGTTATCTGACAATCTCCTTTGACTGTCACAATTTCTCTGTGTACATTTACCCTCTTCTCTTCATTGCTATCCTTATTTCCGTAATAAGTCATCACTTTAGAGAGACTTTTTAACATCTCTCTTAGTACCTAAATTGTCACCAGCCTCAGTATTGTTTTCCATGTTATATAAGTGAAAGAAATAGAACTGATGAAGAGGTGCTAAGTGAAGAAAAACCTTCCTTCGTTTAACTGGTTATTTTCAATGGGAACTCTTGCCTTCCTGAATTCTATTAGTTACCTGATATGAGTTATCATAGCATCTACTATGTATCGTCAATAGGTTATTGTTCACTAAGAGAGGTGAAAACATCAGTTTTGGTGGGATTCAGATACACATATATAGCGAACAAAGGCTGAACAAAGTTCCTGACATGACCGCTTTACTACTGTTAGCGGAATGATGTTTTCAACTTGTAAGCCAATATCATATATCCAAACAGATGTCTGCAAACATTTAACCTTGACCGATTTACGCGTTTCTAATTTTCCCTGCACCTCACTATTTGAATATTGTTGTACCTGGTACGCTTTACCCACGTCAATTGTGCTGAACGGTAGATAAATTATTTAAAATCCTTCAATTAACAGTCTACCGTCGGTTCCCACTGTACAATAAAATCCTCAGACTCACTGTTCACCATTCTTGTATATCAACTATTTGAGATACGTATACCTAAATGTAAGTTGCCTATCTATGGCATACCATAATCCACAAAATGAAATAATTTATTTCATATACAGAAATTAGGATAATCCATGGTTATGTAATTCCACGTAATATGCATTCATTTCATAATCACAAATTGTACGGGATTAAGTACTGAGCCAATACGAAGCTTTTACCTTAGGTATCCAATAATACTATGAGATAAGTCTTGAGTAAATAGTCTTAAAAAAAGATTAAAAAATCGGATCAACTACATTTTTTTATGTTCCCTTTTTCATTGTTTTGGCCTGTTATAACATTGTCTCACATGAATACGGCGAAGAGTTCATCTCAAGTCGGTATTCACCAAGAATTGACAACAATTGGAGGACCACTAGAAACCTAGGAGCATTGGACGGCTGTTTCACCCTAGTGTAGGACTCCTAAGCAGTGCACACCCATGTTTCCGCAGGACCGGAAGGTCCTTAGTGGGGTCATTGTGTCCACTACTGGAGAGTCCCATACTAGAACAAAACACCTGTCTAGTGCTCTCAGCTTTTCAGTGGTTTTCCTACTTATGCCACTCTGTGATGAAAACTAACTTGAGATCGATAAAACAAATCCTCATTAACCTCCAAATTGAAAATTTCTCTTGAAGCATAGACCATAGCATCAATTAAAACTAGTTCTGAAGTTATTGACTAGGCCTAAGAGATTTGACCATCACATGAGAACCGGTGAAGTGTTGTGGCTTCTGCAAAATCACCTCCAGTGTTTGTGATCTCTCAATCTTTACAACTTACAGGATTATTCTATGCAAACATACTTATGAGTAGTATAAAAGAAATAATCACAAATTTCGTCAAGATCAGATAATTTCTTATGATAGAAATCACCTACAGTGCATTCACATTGACTGCATATATCAGGCTTCCATGTATTACCAATTTGATAGGGTATACCATGAAGAGATTTTCCACAGTTTGGTATACAAAGACACTGTTCACGAGATAAAATCTGCATTTTTAATTCAGCCATCTGGAATAATAAAATTCAAAAATACTGTTTTGGATAGTTTTTGATAGTAAAAATGCGTCAAACACTAAAAGAAAATTTTACTGATGATAGGATTAAGGAAATAAGGCGTTTAACTCCCTGGCTGTAGAGCATTTTCGCCAACTTTCATCTGAGCAAAGGATACTTAGCTATCCACCAATCATGATCGGAGAATTACAGCATTACAGCGTATAAAAGTAAGGCTTTATACTCATTGGAGGAAATTTATTAACGGCATCTTAACCTTGAGGCTGACCTTGTCTGAAGGTCACCAATTCTCTTGTGCTGATTCTTCAGCGTGTAATATTGTTGAATATATAGTCAGCTGACAAGCAGTTGAGTCATTTGATTCCATTCACTTGAAGCAGTGGTATGATAGCTGATCAATTACAGTCAATTAGTTGGTTATCTGAACGTCTGGAAAACTTAACCTAGTTGATGGATCTTTCTTGACTTGATTAATAACTTTGCCTATTCAAAAATTTCACTTATCACGGTTTCCATGCGAACTGTATGATCTATAAAGGATTTACTGGTTTCAGAGAACATTTCAACAGAAGTGTGACATCTTATGGAGGACATCTGTTGATGATCAAGCTCTGGTTAGTTGCCACATCTTAGTGAAGAAACTGTTGTTTCGTTATAGAGTGTAGGCCATTATGCTCAAGTTATTATAATGTTAGACGTCAGTGGTTCAAGACTGAGGGCAATACGGTTTGAAATCAATCACGTTGGTGTAAATATGTTTACACCTCATCACCTTCAACATTGAATGTCTAACTCTTCGTCTGTTTGATATCTTTCCCTCTTTCTGTTTTTGTTGTCAATTCTATCATCTCTAAAATTCTCTTGATTCTGTTGTAAAGTTAATTAATTGGAATCTACTTCTATGTGTCAAATGTTTAAACACCCAAAAAAAGGAGGAATCGAATGTAGTCGAAAACGATTTCCAGTTTCAGTTAATTTGCATTACGGTGTAATCATCTCAGTGCATTGATTTCAGGTGTCTAAGTCGTATTTGTGGACCGAATTCCATCAGTTATTTTGTAATATGATCACCTATCTATGAGATAAGTCATTGCAGTGCACTTTGATAATTGTTTGTTAGTTGAGGGCAACTGACATTCAAGCAAGGCTTTCTGCTCAATGAACATCTATCAAAGTGTATCGCGATGGGGACTGTTCTATCATGGCGATTACAATAAAAAATGATTGATGGAATTTTGTCAGCATCTAGGACTAAACAGCATAAACAATGGTTGTTCTCTAGTGGCTTGTCAATCCATCCAATCCAATCCTAATAAGACTTCGATCGCGGTCCAAATAGCACTGTACAATGCCTCTGACTGAAGCACCGAGTAAAGTGGGTTCTAGACTCCTAGAGCACATCAGCATACTCAAGGTAGGAGATACGCCTAGTTGACAAGGACCAACAAATACAAATCCTACGTTAAGGATCTCAGCATCATCCTTCAGTGTTGTAAATATTCATATCTCTTCCCCTCCAACCTGGATGAGCCTACATATCAGTATTTCCCGAAGGGACTTCATGCACTAACTCAACTCAGAATAGAAATGTTATTCACTGAAATATCAGTTCACTATCACAACGGTAATATACTTCGTTCATACATACAACACGTTCTAAGACCAATATCATTTACTATCTACTGTGAGCACGTAAACAGTGTTCCAAAACGGGAACAGGACAATTTTTCTCCATCCCCCCCCCCCATTTTTCAATTTTTTTTCTGTTTGATATAACCTCATAATCAAAGATATGTCTCCAATAGTATAAAAGATTACTCCAAATTCATTGATAGAGAGGAAAAAGTATGACTTTTGAAGACAATATATGAAACGATACCTTATCTAGACAACAATAGTGTTGTCTAGAGATGAAGAGATAACTGAATTAGTCTTCAGTGTTTTGGAGGCATAATAACTGAAGCAAAAACATTATAATATAGCTTTTAAAAGAGAAAAAAAATACTTTGATTACAGAAATGTAACGATTAATTAAAATTACTTGTTGTAACAAATTTTCAATGGCTTGTTTTTGTGTATACAGCATACTCTGTAATTCAGTGATGGTTGCTGAAAGTGAAAAGAAAAATGGTGAGTTAGTTTATTTAGTACACTTTTAATATGATTGTAATACATGTACAATTTAGTTAGCTATCAGTTAGGTAAATGTATCAACTCTATCTGGAGGATTGTGGAGGTATATTAATTAATTTTAGGTCGGAATTCATCATAGACTGGCATCAATTGCAGGAAGAATGGAAACCTGGGGGGTGGGCTGTTTCGTCGTACTATGGGACTTTTGTATCCCGACTCAGTGATTTAATGGTGATGTGCTAGACACAGATCCTGGAGGTCCTGGGTTCGATCTCTCGTGGGGGCATGAGTGTGTACTGCTGAGGAGTCCCATACAAGGATGAAACAGCTGTCTAGTGCTCCCAAGTTTCCAATGTTCCTTCAACTGATGTCCGTTCACGATGAATTCCAACCTAAAATGTAACAATTGACCTAAAGGTGAAGTTATTTTTTTATATATATAGTTCTACAATAAGTTCACCGACCAAATGTTAATTGTTCCTCCAGGACTGGTCTCCATAGCTACTTTAATGAATAAAAAAACAGTGAAAAAGAAGTCCTGCCAGTTCTGGTCGGTAAGTGACCAACGAAATCGCTACACAGATACAAAACGTTCAGTTGACTTATGCCACCCGATTATTCATCAATGGTTGAGTGTTTACTGCTCAGTAGTACCCTAGATCTTACCACATACCTGTGAAACACGACCATTAGAAGTGAAGAACATGGAAGGGCCTCTCGTGTTCCTTCAGACTGCCTACTTAAATTCCAGACTACCAATTATTCTCCATCGAATATATCACATCAGAACGCTCTTTTTCTAATTGCTTCATTTACTTCAACGTCAAAAACTGGTACTCACTATCTTGCCTTTTTAAAATATTTTCAAACCATTGTTTCGAAAGCTATCAATTAATTTATGACATAACATCACGGTAGGTGTCAGTAGTCTCCTAAGCGCACAACTTTACATCTTATAAATAGTACAGGAATAGTTAGCTTGACTGAACCCCTAAAACTGATATGTAGATTTTATGTGCTAGATTAAAGGATTTAAGCTCTGAATGGTCGTTAAACTCGTTTATCGTCAAGCTTATCAGTTGTGTACCGGGATAAATGCAGCTTATATAGCCATAATGCTCAGATCTCCTGGACTTGATCTATACGAATCAGCTAGCAAATGGCTTACAAACTTTACCGTCAACATCAGTTTTTAACTACTCAGGTTGCATAGTAGTTTGTATATTTCCCTAATTTATGACACTTTGTGTCAGAGATCACATTTTGGGATGTTGACCGGGGTGTTTTTAACAGATACCCTGCTGACATCACAATTGGCCAATTTGATAGTTAACTCAAACTGCAGGCAGATTTTCATACTGACTGAATGAACCTTCACCATACAACTGACGCGTACTATTACTACTAGTCCACGGGTGCAACTACGTACCCACAAATTAGACGATGATATGACAAAACCTAGTCGTTATATCTCATGCTAGTAATAGAGTAGTGTTACTTAACGTTACTTAAAGGCAATATTTACTTCATTTGAAAATATCACACAAGGAGTAAGTTCGCTTAGGGATTACATAACACGAAAGCCTCATTGCATCAAAAGTAATGTTTGATATAGAGAAATTATTATTATTTTATCAAGACACCAGTGATACGGACGTTAGATGTAGAATTTAAGCTAAAAGCAGTAAGCCGATTGACGAGATTGTAATCTTTTATCGACTTAGCTGACTAGCTGTGACGAGTGTCACGCATATATGGTCACCACCTATCCAAACGCGTAATGTAAGCTGAAGCGTAAAGGAATTAAAGGTGATCCAACTGAAACGTGATGTCTCTGACTATTGGTCTGAGTCTTGTAGGCGAATGTAGACTTCCTGGTTGTGGTCATGTGACAATAGAAAATGGACGGTTGGAGACTCTAGTTGACATTGGAGTAGATGTATCCACTCATTACCATCATCTTAATCTATACTGGGTAATGACTGAAGGTGAAATGAAAATTTGGACCATAGAAGGATTTGAACCAGAGACCATCGAGTTTCCGGCCCGATGCTCTACTAACTGAGCTATGAGGTCTGACTGCTAGTCAGATTTTTATTTCACTTCAATGATTATGAGTTTTGTCCGAGTATAAATACGCAGTATCAGTACTAGTCTGTCAAACCACGGCTATCTCAGGTAGTCGAACTGGTAATGGTTTTAATCGTCATATTGAATATCCTTACTGTTTCATCCCTTTTTCTTTTTTTGAACTACTCTTGAGTGCTTTCTTTCTCATTATGATATTGTTCGTCTTGGTGCTGTCTACCTCGATGATTAGATATGAGGTATGACAGATTAGACCTTTATACAGTAATACTCGATCCCATGTTGAAATTGACTGACTGATATTTCGCAGCAGCTACATTCCCAAGCACCTTAAGATATCATAACAAGGATGTGAAGTACATTGATTGGTCATCGGAGAGTAACCAATCAATATATCGAATCCAGTCCTACAAGAAATCAGTCATGGCCCGAATAGTTCGGCGGTAACGTTACTGACTACAAAGCTGGGTGACCAGGGTTCACTTTTCAGGCGGGACATCAGTTACGTAGGGCTTGTAGATACGAGTTACTAATGAGTGCCAACAAGCACAAAACCTGGGTCCATAACCTCTTGTCGATTGCTCTATCCATCTAATAAGAGTATGAAGTTTCGGTTACCAGGCTCATAAGATTAGTGATGTATCTGGTAGAAGTTGATATTCAGCAAAAATTATTTTGTCTGCCTAGTTGTTGAAACGTAAGTACAACTCGGAAGATAATGTCATGTACGGTTCACCAACGTCTTCTTCAGATAATAATAATAATTTAATTCCAGATAACTTTTAGTACAGTTTGGAATTCTCAGGGCAATATGTCACCAAATTTACTACTCGTATATCCTTTCAATTTGAAAAAAATCATGGCAGTTAAATAAGGTTACTAATAACACTACGATAAACAGTAATACACAACAAACGGTAGTTTTTAAGTCATCTAGTTTATAGGTATGTTGTTGCATAGAAGGGTGGTGATGGAGGTTCATTTATTCTATATGAAAATTTACTGTTCCAGTTACGTATTCCTGTAATAGATATATAATGTACAGTAGTGGATTCAGTGACCAATTTCCGTCTACTGTGATATTTTCTCATAGTCTTGTTGTTAATTTATCTAATGATAGATTGAAGATATTTTAAGACTGCACTGTAGTATATTTTACGATTTATTGATATTTCAATGATTAAAACAAGTAGAAAAGGAGTAATTTGATGAAATATGTTTGGTAGAATATTAATGATAGGCCAAAATTTAAGCAGACCGTTAAGATGATATTCATAGCTGAATCTGTAGAAAGAGTATTCATCAAACCTGAAGTTGAAATTCAAAATGAAGGCTGTTTACATCATCCATGTTTACTCCCTTTTTTCTTTCGTAGCCCAGAATGACGATGTCATAGTTTTCTCTGAACTATGATGAACTGATGACGGTTTTAAATATGTCGTTGAAACCTTTACCAGATGTAATCCCAGCCATCAAGTCACTTTGGACAGTTACACTCATATTTCAAACCCGATCACTTTCATGAAACATGTGACCTAAAGTAGATTGATTTTCCTGGAATGTCAATCCGAAATAATTAACTGGTTACCGAACCAAGCGGCTTTGAAGTGAAGACAGAAGTAAGATAAGGCTGCCTACCATCACCCATGATCTTCTTGATTGTGGTCAACTGGATTATGCAGCAAACAGTGAGGAGCAGGAACAGGGGGATACGCTGGACCGATGAAAAGAACCTGGAAGATTCGGATTTCGCCGATGATTTCTGTTGAATCTCGCACAAACTCGAGGACCTACAGGCGAAACCTGACAAGTTGATAGAAGAAGCAAGGTGAGGCAGCGAAAACGGGACTTCAAGTCATTGCAGGGAAGACGGAGGTGATGAAGGTACCCAACCAACAACAACACCATCAACAACAAGCACCAATCAACATCAACGCCAGAAACCTAAAGCAAGTAGTCTCCTTCACCTACCAACCTACACCTACCAAGGCAAGGCAGCATCCTTTCAACTAAGGCAGTGGTGGCGGCACACACGACAATGTCAAAACCACCATCGGAAAGACAGCAAGATAGGCCTGCCTGCATTAATCTGAAATGATCAGTGAGGAGATCTACTACACTACACTCAGCACAAAGTGTGAACAACATCCGGATTTTCAACAATAATGTAAGTCAAGTAAGTCAGTGCTTCTATGTGATGGTTCAGAGAGTTGGCGTGTCACGAAAGCATTTGCAACAAACTACAAACACTCATCAACAGCTGCCACTTACGCTGGCTGGATACAGACACTGAAGATTGATCAGATGGCCAGAGTTGAATAATAAGAATATACAACAAGGAAGCCACTCTGGTTGGCTGCTGACTGGCTGGCAACGAACCAACCAACAACCCATCACCCAACAAATATGCAGAGGAAAGTGGAGATGGATTGGATTGGACACACACTTAGAAGACCAATTGGGGACATCACGAAGCAGTCTGGGTTGTCGAGTGGAATGCAAATGGGAAACGGCGAGTTGGGTGTGCGAGGTGAGGGTGACATGTAGGAGATCATGTGAGGAAGGAATGTAAGGTTATGGGGAGTCGTGTAGCGAGGTTGAAAAGACTGCAGAGAATAGAGTGCAGTGAAGGCGTGCTACTGAATCCCTATGTTCCACTTGGAATCCAAGGGAAAAATAATAATAATAATAATACCGAACCAAGGCTAAAATACTATCCCAAACTTCCTCTTGAAAAGTTCTTCCAACTTTGACATTTTATTCTTCGATTTATGAGCATTAATATGCACATATATGTCACAGTATCTTCAGTAAGAGAGGAAACATCGTGTGACATAGCAATATGCAAGTGAATATACGAACTTACTCAATATTGCTCATTAGTGACTTGCTTCAAGATGAGATTTCCCGAAGTTGCAATGAGAAGTCATGATCTCTGGACTAAACCAAGCCGGACATCAGGATGAATAATCAGTGACGGCGTTTGATAAAGGATCCACTATATCGCGAATTGACAGGGTTGGGAAAGTGTGGACCAATGTGTCTCTACTTAGTGGCTGAGTGGTAATCTGCCCTTTGCAGAACTCGAAGAACCTGAGTGCGCACTACTGAGGAGTCGCATCCTTGGATAAAACCGCTACCTAGTATTCTTAAGTTTTCAATAGCCCTAGAACTCATGTCAGTCCATTATCTCAATACCAACTCGAATTAACAAACTACGCATATGAATGACCTTGAAAGGCGTTTCTTAATTTGAGTTGTAGCCAACCAACCACGTGCAGCGAATAGTCAAACATACAACATGAATATTCCCATTTGGCGATTGAGTATGTAAGGTTTTGTTAGAGATAACATTATTGTAGAAGTTTACCAGTTTCACGATGGAATAATCACTTGGTTATGTTAAGGCAAACAATCATCGATCAAAAACAGAATATTGCTTCTACAAATCATATAGAAAGATAGTTAAAAATTCATCTTGTCAATACCAGGACTAGAACAAATCACCTGTGGAATGAAATAATTGGTGAATTTAAAATGACGATCGAGGAAAATCAGCTTGGCGCTTTAAATGTCTAGAACAAAATATTGAGGTCTATTATCTAAGCAATAGTGTTGATATTTCTTACGCCTGAGTACTGTTTCCACTGCTTACGGGTATGTCTCAAGTTTATATTGCATAAATGATCGATTGTATACACTTATCTATGTTTACAGTTGATTGTTTTCTACTTGTATTATGATGGTGTTATTCAAGAGTTAAGTAAAGTCATCAATAAATACTGTCTTTGAGTCACTGAACTGTTAGTAGACAAAACAATGATTAGCCTATCAAAAAAGAATCAGTAACTAAGAGCAGAAAAACTGTATCAACTGATTTTTCTTGTGGAAATCTTTCATGCAAAATATTAATGAATAATTCACAGGAATATCTAATATCTCAACAGTAAGCAATAAATAATTTAGTTATACGAGGTAAGAAATTACCCTTTCTGAATAACCATATTTTAATTCCACATAGTATAAAATATTAACTTGGAGCTTATGGATTCTTGATAGCCCCTAGGTTGATCCGAATTGGATAATATCCGGATATGAATATATAGTTGCTATGATACTACAGTTAGTATAAAATTTGAGAACTAAGCATTACCGTTGTACATATTCACATAAAACATCTACCCAGTGGAGGATATTCTAGTATTTGATAGGATGACAGCTGGCCTCCAGTCTCAATGGGAATATTATCATTGCATTGGAATGCTCATGTAGCTAGTTGATGAATCTCAGAAGAGATAAAACTTGTATACTCAGTTTCACAATAAAATTTAAAGGTTATCATTTACTAACACTTACTTACTTGGCAAATCCATTGTATTTAATGATAAATATGACTTTGAAGGAAATATGTAATTGTTTTGAATACTATCCATAGATTGGCTACGAATTTGCGGTTGATTTGATTCTGTATCCAACATAATTTGTGTAAATGAATCTTTATTCTGTGTTTTTGATGAACAGTGGGATAATTCACGTCTTATAACTTGTTGATTTGATGTTAACATGAAATTTCGAATAGAACCCTTTAGTAATTAGAGAATATCGATAGAGAAAGTTATGATTGACTTTGTAATGATAAATTATTTATCAAAAAAATAGGTAATGATGGTGTATCTCGAAGCTACTATAAAAAAGCCTTGAACTTTGAGCCAACGCTTCTTAATGCAGTAAACTAGTTAATTAATCGATAAATGATGTCTCAGGATGACAATCATGGTTGATGCATATTCAAACTCATAAAACGACTACTCATTTAAACATAATAGGCTATAGGATTCAAAATCTAAGCAGTGGTTTATTTACTAACATAATTGAGTAAGTTTATACACAATGGATAGTGAATTGTGCGATTCGGAATCTGAGTGAAACTTGAAATTTCCAGTTGTTTTATTGTTAACAAATTATTCAGAAAAACTTATACTTCTGCTTCTGAATACACTCAAGACCACTGTCATTGATATTATCACAAAGTTGCTAAGACTTCAAGTATAACTCATTTGAGTAGATTAGTGTATTCATATACAAATCGATATTTATACACTGTTGTGATCAACCACTTTAATCATACACTTAACATCAGATTGTTGTTGATGCTGAAGATGAACATTCTCAACTCAAAGTCTGAGTAAGATTGATATACATTAGGGTATTGGATGGTGTAATTTGCCTCCTAATCTTAAAGTAAGCAAAATGATAGAAAAGAGTCCAAATACTGCCAACTACAAAACTACTACTACTACTTCACGACTGAACTGCATAAGTGCCAAGTTTGACCATACAGAGAGACAATTGGCTTACCAGGTTATCTTATCTAAGACATGGTGCCAGTTTTGTCTTTACTAGATCGTACATATTGATACTTGTAATTTCCCGTTGTTATAATGGGCCAAATTGCTCGACCTATGTTAGCAAGTGGATTCCCATGCAGATATCTCCATATCCTCTCAATATGGCTAGCAATGGAATCCACGATGCTCGTTTCATCAACCGGATGTATCTGCGCCCTGATTAGTGACGTTGTTTCAACAGAGGTCAAGCAATTCGGTTGACTATAACAGTGGGAAATTGCAAGTACCAATAAACAACAACTGATAAGCATTGGATAAGAGGTGGCTCTTATCCACAAGTGGCTTAGTGTATAAAGCTCTAGCGTCCGAAGAGACTGGTACTGGGATCGAGTCCCAGTAGGATTCCAGCTGATGAGTCTTAAAGGTGACAAAAACCGCGTCCTAAAGTCCCCCTGCTAGGCATTAAGTTCACTTGGTCTGTTCCACGACTTTTTTCAAATTGTCGTTTATGGCGATACAAACAGCTTGCTGAATGAGTAAAATGACAGAAGACTGAGCAAACAAACTGATCTTGAAGATAAATAGCCTTCATCATCTCTCAGAGGGAGATTCTAGCTTGAATTGGCTACTGAACTCTAACTAAATTTTATACTTCGTACTCTTAGTCAATGATAGTCATTCGATGAAGTGAAGCGGCTTTAAGATACAGGGATAGGAAAAACTGCGAAACAGCAAGTATATTCCAGTGATGAGCCTCCTAACTCGTTGGTCCATATTGTAAAATGATCCATTACATTTTTGGTCAGCACTCAGAACTGGCAGATGTGAAATTCATTGTTTTACAATGACCAATAAATGTATCTAATGTAGTCCTATAGGAGGTCAGTCACTGTCTGAATACCTCAACGATATTGTCACTGGCTTCAAAACTGGGTGATGAGAGTTCAACTCTCAAAAGGGACATAGGTTCCGTTTAGAATACAGCTACCCCTAGTTGGTGAGTGCCAACAGTCAACACAAAAGCTAGGTCAAACAAGATTGAACTTTTGGTTGATTACCTCTAACCAACTAGGGATATGGTGTATTAGCTTTTCTACCCATACTCATAAAACCTCCTGATCAAATCATTCATTCAATCCTTATTATTATTATTATTATTGATGAATTCGATAATCCAGTGGTTAGAGACAAACCAATCACTTTCCTGTTGAAGAAAGATCAAAAAATCACATCACTGTTGATATCAATGAAGAAAAGGCATCACCAGCTACCTGAAATATCTCATGGATTTTTTTGGATTTACGCAGACACTTCAATTGAGATGATCATCTGTAATCTTAGAGTTAATTATCTGATAATTTATTGATATGTTGTTGTAGAAGTGTACTAGCTTCATTATAAACCACAAGAATGTACTCTTGAACATGACATATTGACATATGACATGCTGTTGATATGAAAATCAACTATAGGTGTGGATATCGTTCCATATCTTATTTAAAAAATTTTTTTCTCATAGTTTGTGAGAAATATTGTTTTATATGACAAAGGTTTTTATTAACACTCTAATTTGAAGCTATACGACTTCAACCTATTAATAACCCAACCTTCGGTTTGGAAAAATTAAAGGTTCCTCCCCAATTTAAATGTAGTCTGCATTCAAGGTTTATATTCCTATGAAAAAGTTTTAAGTACACCTTCAGTTAGTCAGTCAGTTAATGACAGCTTGAGACCTGATAAACTGTGTAACTATTTAAGCTGCCAAACTTCAAATCACTACATCAAAATAGACAGTATCAAGAAGAAATATGAAGCAATATGGAAGAAATTGATCAAGGAAGTAGAAAATTATAAAAATAAAGACAGTAGGGTTAAGATGATAAAGAAATTAGATATAACGATTACAATGAAAATAGTACATGGATGCTTCTGAGCTACTAAGACCAATCAATTACAATCTCCAACCACCAATTTAGGTTGGCGTTTGAACTTTAACATGGGATTGGTAAATTTCCATACACGACTCAAATTAGTAGTCAAAACTTCAAGGACTAATGCTATGTCTTATTCTGGCCACCTTGAATTGTTTTGTTATAGCCTCAACTGACTTCAGTCAATAATGTGTCACAGATTACATGGTGATTATGTATACATAAAACATATTACACCTGCCTGAGTTGATGATGGTTCACAACCTCAAAAGTGAAGGGGAGGACTTCTGTAACTACATTTTTGGCAAAAGTTAAATAATAATGAGTGATAACAAATGTATAACCTAGATTGGTCATAACTGCGAACAACTAACAATGAAATAAACTATCGTAGGTACCAAACTCACATTCCCTAAAAACTGTTCTATGGTACTGATCACTTCTGGAATTTACAGCCTGATAGTATTCACCGTCTTACATAGATCAAACAACGGTGAAACTGTTTAAGAACTGATGTCATAGTTTAGTCCGGCAAACTCAACAATGGTTTATTTAATGTGATACTTTAGGATAGATGGTGCTTCATAGAATTTATGGTGAAAAACTCCTTCTTATTCTCCAGACTGGATAACATGTCAGTGGGAGGTAGCTCGGTATTCAGAAAGCTTTGTGGTACATATGGAGCAAAGAAAGTTGGTAAACTGACGACTAATGTGAATCATAAGTCATAATTATCTTCAAAGCTAATCCAAAATTTTTAACCGCTACAGTTTACCTTATGTTAATAATCCCCATTGAAGATTAAACTAGAAAACGAGCTGTTTTTGAAACTTTAAACATTCAACATTTAGGAATTGGCCAAGGAATCTAAACCCTCACAAACCTCCCAACTGAATTACTGTCTATGGCTCACTAGTGACTTGCTTCGAGATGAGATTTCCACGAGTCCCGATAAGAAGTCGTAACCAGTGGCGCAAACCAATTCATAAGCAACGACAAATACTCAGCGAAGGAATTGCATAATGGTTGAGCTGCATGTTGAATTAACAGAAGTGGAAAAATGTGAACCATCGGGTTTCCACTCAGTGGCTGAAATGCAAAGATTCTGCGTTTGATCCCAGGCAAGGACACGGGTCCGTAATGATGAGGAGTCCCACACTGGAATGAAAACTCTCCAGTGCTCCCGAATCTTCAGTAGTTCTTCAACTGATGTTAATCCGCGGTGAATACCAACTTGAAGTTAAAACTTCCCACAAACCCGTTAGAATGTTCAAAAATGCCACATAAAACAGCAACTAACAGGCGAACGAGAGAATCCATCTTGAGATAAAAAATCAATAATTACTCCGTCTTCAATTAATTGTGTAGATAACATAATTTTATTACTATTATATTATTATTACTATTATTATTATTATTATTAGTTTTCCCTTGGATTCCAAGTGGAACATAGGGATTCAATAGCACGCCTCCACTGCACTCTCTTCTATGCAGTCTTTTCAAACTCGCTACACGACTCCCCATAACCTTACATTTCTTCCTCACATGATCTCCTCCATGTCATCCTCGCCTCAGACACCCAACTCGTCGTTTCCCATTTGCATTCCACTCTACAACCTGGACTGATTCGTGATGTCCCCAACTGGTCTTCTTAGTGTGTGTCCAATCCAATCCATCTCCACTTTCCTCTGCATATTTGTTGGGTGATGGGTTGTTGGTTGGTTCGTTGCCAGCCAGCCAGCCAGCCAGCCAGCCAGCCAGCCAGCCAGCCAGCCAGCCAGCCAGCCAGCCAGCCAGCCAGCCAGCCAGCCAGCCAGCCAGCCAGCCAGCCAGCCAGCCAGCCAGCCAGCCAGCCAGCCAGCCAGCCAGCCAGCCAGCCAGCCAGCCAGCCAGCCAGCCAGCCAGCCAGCCAGCCAGCCAGCCAGCCAGCCAGCCAGCCAGCCAGCCAGCCAGCCAGCCAGCCAGCCAGCCAGCCAGCCAGCCAGCCAGCCAGCCAGCCAGCCAGCCAGCCAGCCAGCCAGCCAGCCAGCCAGCCAGCCAGCCAGCAAGCCAGCCAGCCAGCCAGCCAGCCAGCAAGCCAGCCAGCCAGCCAGCCAGCCAGCCAGCCAGCCAGCCAGCCAGCCAGCCAGCCAGCCAGCCAGCCAGCCAGCCAGCCAGCCAGCCAGCCAGCCAGCCAGCAAGCCAGCAAGCCAGCCATCCAGCCAGCCAGCAAGCCAGCCAGCCAGCCAGCCAGCCAGCCAGCCAGCTAGCCAGCCAGCCAGCCAGCCAGCTAGCTAGCCAGCCAATCAGAGTGGCTTCCTTGTT